CTTTCTCTTCTTCCACACTTTCTTCTCAAACTACAACCTGAGCCACGTTTGCTACTCAGCTCATTTATAAAGGCATTGACAGCAACAGGAGAAGTCATGTTCCCTGTAAAAGCTAGTGTGTGCATGTGTAAATATATGTGTGTTTATTCATTTTGTGAGGTCTTTTTTGGGCTGTTAAGAACAAAAAGTTGCTGTTCCACAGTGTGATCAATGAGTGGCCATTACTATTATATGTATGGGTATGAGGTTCAAAGGGACCAAACAATCCCAGTCCTAGGTACATAGTCACGAGCTGAAAACAGACTCAGATAATTGTATGCCAATGTTCACTGTGGCATTACTCAAAATAGCCAGAGATGGAAGCAACCCAGTGTCTTTCTGTTGATAGACACTTTTTTTTTCTGTTGATAGACACTTGAACAGATAAACAAAATATGCACATCCATATAACAGAATATTATTTTTTTTTTGAGACAGGGTCTATGTAGCCTTGAACTTGGGATCCTCCTGCTTTAGCTCCCTTGTTCTGGTATTATAGGCATGTGCCACCACACCTAAATAATATCTACTATTATTTAGCCAAAAAAGGGCTTAAGTTCTGATACACAATACATGGATGAACCTTGAAAAGATTGTGCTAAGGAAAGAAACCAGACACAAAAAATCACACATTGGGTGATTCCCATATATCAAATATCTAGAATAGATGAGAATTCATAGAGACAAAAGCAAATTAGAGATGGGGGAAGGGAAGAATGGGGAGTTATTGCTTTAATGGGTAGTTTCTGTTTGGGTTTGATGAAATGTTTTGAAATAGCAGTGACAGTTGTACAAAAATGAGAAGTAATTAATGCCACTGAATTGTTTAAGTGCTTAAACTGTTTAAAATGGCAAGCTTTATTTTATATATTGTATATATATTATATAATTATATATTATATATATAACATGTATTATTGTGTGTAATACACAATGTAAGATCGTGTACACACACAGAATAAAAAGATCATTTTTGCAGTACTGAGGCTTGAACTCAGGGCCTTCAGCTTGAGCCACTCCACCAGCCCTATCTTTGTGAAGGGTTTTTCGAGATAGGGTCTCATGAACTATTTGCATGGGCTGGCTTCAAACTGCGATCCTCCTGATCTCTGCCCCCTGAGTAGCTAAGATTACTGGCGTGAGCCACTGTCACCCAGCTTACAATAAAAAAAATTCTAAGAAAAAAGTTGTGTGTGTTGGAGGGGTGGTGATGAGTGATCAAGCACTGAAAACATGAAACCCTAAAATGAAAAATTTGGGGCTGGTAGAATAGCTTAAGCACTAAGAGCACCTGCCTAGCAAGCATGAGGCCCTAGGTTCAAACCCAGTGCTGCCAAAAAAAAAAAAAAGAAAAAGAAAAATTTGGCTATTTCAAAACTGTAATGGTTATGACATTTCATAGCTGAGCAACCTTACAAGCACACAGCCAATTTTAATTTAAATTCTAAGGGTAGTACTAATACTCAGAAAATGTCTTTGAGTACTTGAGTTTATATAATATTTTTCATTTCCTTGGAGAAAGTTAAACTTACCTATGCAACATAAATCCGAAGATTATATATTCAAGAAAGGATTTGAATTATGCATATGACACATGCAACCAAAGCTATTAGTTCTAATTACATTTTCACAAAAGATTTTCTTATAATTTGTTGCCTACAAGTTAAATGTTTCTCTGGAGTTCCTTAGAATTCTAGGAAGGGATGAGTGCTATCTAGCTCTAAGCATGCAATCTTGACATTTCTATTAAGTTTTCCTTTTAAAAACTCTTAATTTGTGTGTACCCTAAACTATTTCAAAGTAAGAGATACTTCAAATTGGTACCTCTAAATATCACCCTCCCTCTGTCCCTACACACATATACACAGAGAGGTTAAATATATTTTCTTAGTAATCTTCTTTTTTGCGGTACTGGGGCTTGAACTCAGGGCATTCACCTTGAGCCACTCCACCAGTCCTATCTTTGTGAAGGGTTTTTCGAGATAGGGTCTCATGAACTATTTGTCCAGGCTGGCTTCAAACCGTGATCCTCCTGATCTCTGCTGCCTGAGTATGTATTTTGATACATAATGATCTTAAATTTCCTTAGTGGCACCATGACTTTCCTAATATGCAACTCAAAATCTTCATTATCTTTGAATTTTTCTCTTTCATGTTTGCTATATTCCACCCTTTTATCATGGACTGATGATTCTTCTTTTGCAGTATCTTTCCAGTCCCTTTCTCCTTTCTTTCCTCCTAGTCCCCCTACTAATATCTAAATTCTAGCCCTATTACTTCAGACTGCAACTGTTATGGTCCCTAAACTGGTCTACTGGTCATGAATGTCTCTATTTTCAAATCTATACACCATCTTCCTAAAATGCTGTTTTCATCATTTTCTCACTAGTGTTAAGTCACATCATGGCAGGGATTCATTTGCCTTTGAACACTATTTACTGTGCATAGTACAACCTGCCGTTGGTTAATTAACCAATGTTTGTTGAATGACTACATGAATAATGCTATTCTCTTCAAAACTTTCATTAATTTCCTAGTAATCACAGCAGAAGTTGCAAACTGAAAAACATAGGGGCTGGGCAGGAAATGAAAATGAGTAAAAGCACATGTAAAAACAAGAGGAAGTGGTGGGGACTGCAGTGAATTGGAGGACAATGTCTCATCTAAAGGTACAGTTCTTGCTGTTCCCACCAGTTGCTGCCATAATGGAATATAAGCCCCATATTTCGAGGTCTTCTGATTTTTCAACATAAGATGAAGATTTCTATACAAAATTTGCTGGGTTTTACATGGCATCGAGTAATTCCACTTAAACCTAAAACCTCCCCAAAATTTACCATGCAAACCCAACCAAATATCTCTCCAGGCCAAATCCAGCCCTCAAGTTAATGACTGGCCTGCAAGACAAAAGATAAACTCTTCCAGATATTCTAAGTCCTCTACTACGCATTCTCCAGCCTACCTTTCCAGAGAGCTTTTTCCACTACAAGCACCCTCAACACCCTGTCTCAAAAAGTGTAAGAAAAAAAAAAAAAAGAGAAAAAAGAGGCTGTGAGCTCCACCACTGAGCTACGTCTGCAACCCTTGGAGGGTTTGTTAAAACAGAATGCTGGGACACATTGCCAGCATTTCTGATTCAGTAGGTCTCAGATGGAGCCTGTGAAACTGTCTTTTTCTTTTCTTTTGTAAAACTATGTCTGTAATAGGTCCAGGTGATGCTGATGCTATGGTCTATGCACCACACTTTAGGAAACACTGCTCTAGTTAAACTATTTGTCTTAAACATATTCTTAAATTTGTGTATATTGTTCTGCCTTCCCTCTTCCTTTCAATTCATCTCCTTCTATAAACTTTCCCTATGACAGTCTTCAATGGCTCTATATTCTTGTGGCAATTAGGTTCTATGCCATCTCCCCTTTATCAATCACTGCTTAGTATTGCTTACTGTTATGTCTTTGTGCACAGGTGCCAATGAGATTGTGTTTTCTTGAAGATTAATGGCCAGGTCACAGCCTTAAGCAAGTTGAGGGTAGGGGCCCTCTTTATGTGGCCTCCCCGTATCTCTCAAGTTAACAGAGAACCTGGTACTCACTAAACACTTCTTTAAAAAAATTAATCTAAAGTGTACAAAGGGGCTTTGTTGTTATATTTACATATATGCATATAATCATATAATTTAGCTTGATCAAATTTACCCTACTACTCTTTCTTAACACCCTTCCCTACTAAACACTTTTTTTGTGTGTGTGGTGGTCCTGGGTTTGAATTCAGATCTTCATACTTGTGAGACAGGTGCTTTATGAAACCCTTGAGCCACCCCTACAGCTCCACAAACAATTCTTTTTAAAATTTTTTTCCCATAAACACTTCTTAATGGATGAACATTTGATAGATCCTTGATACAAAAGTGCAAAGAAGTGGCCCTGAAATTTGGGTGATTTTTCTTATGGAACTGACTCTCAGTCCAGGCTAAGGGCTTTGTTGGGATGGACAACTAATAAAAATATGGTATTTGTTGGGCGATGGTGGCTCATGCCTATAATCCTAACTACTCAAGAGGCAAAGATCAGAAGGATCAAGGTTTGAAGCCAGCCAGGGCAAATAATTTTCTGAGATCCTATCTCAAAAAAATCCATCTCAAAAAAGGGCTGGTGGAGTGACTCAAGGTGTAGGCTCTGAGTTCAAATCCCAGTACTGCAAAAAAAAAGTGGTATTCTGCGAATAAAGTGCCAATAGTAATAATTATCTGTGGCAATACATATTACATAAAACAGTGAATGTTGATAATTGATCTAAAATTGGTAAGATTAAATTCTTGACCTACAGGATTCCTTATAATGCCCCTGCAGGGACTGTAAAATAATGTTTATTTTATTTGGAACATATACAGTAAAAGAGTAGGATGAAAGTAACTAACTCCCATGAGCTCCGAAACCCATCGGCCCCTTCAGATGCAGTTTGTATAGTAACAGATTTACTCAAGGATCTAAAGGCCTCATGGAAATAAAGTCAAAAGCTGTTTATCAGGACTGAGGCTGTGGCTCAAGTGGTAGAGCACCTGCCTAGCAAGCTCAAGGCCCTGAATCCAAACCTCAGTACTGTAAAAAAAAAAAAAAAAAAAAATCTGTTTATCCGGTCTTGTCTACTTAAGAGTATCATCTGCTATCAAGTGATTTCAAGGAGAACTTTCATCTCCAAAGTAAACTACAGTAAATCCAGTTTAGGAACTACCAGAAGAAAAAAATAAGAAATACTATCAATTTTGATACATAATGGTCCTAAATTTCACATATAGCCAGTTGAACAACTCCACAGTTGATGGTACCATAATCACTGAGAAAGAGAAAAATTAACATCATTTGGCAAGACAGTCCAATTCAGAAACAAATAAAACAAAAAACAAAACATCACCTGGGAGCATATAAAGTATGTTTACAGCTTTAAGCTGGTGGGGATGTTACCTGATGTCCAGACACCTGCTGTACCTATCAGAACCATGGTGATCTTGTCTACATGAAGATTCAGTCAAGATACTCCACATTACTGTGCTGACCGGGAACTATGAGACCTGAGCATAAAAAGAATTACAAATCTAAATTAACAAAACAGTAAGTGGCTTACTTCAAGTTTTAGAAGCATTCTAAACAATGAAACAGAACAAATTTATGAAGCAAAATAACCCCTGAAACTTCCTGGTAAAGCTACCTACTAGCAATTAAGGAAGGAAATGTTGACAGATAACTTAGTAAGTAGCAACTTCCTATACTACTATCTGTGCTATGGATTGTTTCTCACCAATAGATGACTAAATAATAACATCAGTTCTTTGATAGAAATGAGATTTAGAAGAATGAATTGTAGAATCACTTCTACAGGAGTAAAAACTCTTGGCATTTCTCTCAGCCATATTTATGTCAAACAGTTTTATCTACAAAAATGAAACTTAATCTATAGCTGGGCACTGATGGCTCGCACCTGTAATCCTAGCTACTCAGGAAGCAGAGATCAGGAGGAATGAGGTTCAAAGCCAGCCCAGGTAAATAGTTCTTGAAAAACCCTTCACAAAAATAGGGCTGGTGGAGTGGCTCAAGGCAAAGGCCCTGAGTTCAAGCCCCAGTACCACACACACAAAAAAAACATGCCTTATTACTTTTTTTGTTGATGTTTTTGGGGTTTTTTTGTTGGCGGTACTGGGGTTTGAATGTAGGACCGTGAGTTACTGAGCCACGCCCCCAGCCCCTTACTCTCTCTTCTTCAAGTTATCAATAAAATGCTTTGACAGAATTCGAGACACGCAAAATAAATCATAACTTTATAGAGTGCATATTAGGAGTAACCCCTTCAATGTATATTAATTCCATTCATGGGCATGCGACATATAAAGGGGAGGGGAGATGGCACCAGAAACACAGTCAGAATAAACCATGTTCATGCTAGCTGATGGCATTGCTAAAAAGGTTTTCAGGACTCCTTACCAAATGATACCTGAAATCACAAAATTCAGAAACTATTTAAGTGGAAAAAGATGAGGCGGGGAGGGATTGGAGATCAAAGACCTCACAAAGGGGTGTAGGGATTAAGTTCTCCCCAGAGAAAGAAGAAGGATCTACTATGAGGTTTTAAAGAAAAAGTAAATGCTATTTGAAATAGAAGTGTTCGCTGTGCACAACTTGAACCACAGTCTCCTGTCTTCCTTAATGACTCACCGCCTCTATGAATGAAGGCAGAATCACGCAGTTCCTCCCCAAAAATGAGATCACTTTTGAGTACACTGCTTGTCAGAAGTGTAATAGGGATTTGGGGGTGGCCAGTGCAGAGGGCAAGTGCTTCCAATTTGACGCAACTTGCAGAAAAAGGGACTGCGGGGGCCTGTCCTGGCGGGAGGCACAGGGCACATGGGACAGAGGGACCCGAGGACCCTCCTCCCAATCCCACGCCGGGCGGGGAGTCCTGGGGTCACCCTCGGAAAAGTCCTCAACTGCCTCTCAGAAAACGCGTGGTCGGGACATCCCTTGGTGCGCCATCCCTTACAGAACCAGCAAGTTACAAGTCCGGAAAGGGAAAAGGAAAGCGTAAGTCCGGCAGCCGCGGATGCCATAGAGGCGGAGCAGGGGCGAGGACCAGGCAGCCGTGGTCGCCGTGCCCGCGGTGTGGAGGGACCAGCGGGCCGACGCCAAACGCTGCAAGAGCAGTACCCACGGCCCCGCGACCCCGCGGAGAACCCAGCCTCCTGAAGAGAGGGCACCTCGACCGCCGCGACGCCCGAGACACCCAGCCTGCAGGACGCCGCGACACCGCCCAGGGCTGCTAGGCTCTCGTCGCCGGTCCCGTCGGGTCGCCTGGCTCAGCCCTGACCCCCAGCAGACGCGGTCGCCGCCGCTCGCGCACGCACACTCACCGTGCGCGCCGCCCTGGCGCGGCCACCCGCCGCCCTCGGAGCGCTCTCCGCCCCGCCCCCCTCGCGGCGGCGGCGCGGTCACGTCATGACGCGTGCGCCCTGCGCGCTCCCGCAACGGCAGCGGGGACGTTACCTTCTCGGCGGCGCGCGCTGGTTTCCTTAGAGACCACATCCGCCAGGCTGTAGCTGCCGGGCGACCAAGACTCCTAGGGAAGTCAAGATGCCGTCGAAGAGAAAGGACAAAAGGAAAGCCAAACCCAAAGGCAAAGACGACAAGTAAGGAACAGCTACCCCGGGGTCCCCTGCCGCTGGCCTGTCCTTGAGGAATCTTGAATCTGGAGACTGGTTAACTAGCTGCCGCTCCCCCGCCCACCCGACCTCCTCTGGCTCGCCATGCTTTTAAGGAGAGCTCCTGTGGTTCATTTTTGGCCCTAGCCTGAGGGATCTCTACTGGGCGACTGAGGTATCTTGAACCTCTACAAGACGTTCTAGTCTGAATGGTTGAAGTTGTTCCTTAGGCTGTTTCAGGACTGTCTTGTGGTTCAAACAGGGAACCTAAAAGATCTGACCACATTGGATAATTGTTTAGGTTTCTCCAAATGTATCAGCGCCCCTGTCTATGTAGAGGAATGGTATAGAACCAGCCCTATGAAGGCTTGGAGTTGCTTCTAGAATGCCACCAGATCTACTGGGTGACCCCAATGGTTTGAGACCACAATGGAACCTTCAAACTTGTGTTTAATAAAGGAAATTTGTGGAGCCTGGCATGGTGGTGTAAGCCTGTAATCCTAGCAGTTGGAAGGGAGGCTGACGCAGAAGGATCAGGAGTTCGAGGCTAAACTCTGTGATACATAGTGAGACCTTCTCCACACACACACACACACACACATACACAGACCCGCGCGCAAAAAAAAATAAAAAAAGTCTTTAGGCTCAGTGGCAGTGTCTTTGCTTACCTAACATGTGCAAGACCCTGAATTCGATCCCCAGCAAAAGTAACTTCTTTAATAGAGTAATTCATGCTTAATACAGAAAGTCTGGAAAACATGAGAAAGTTTTCTCTTTCTACCAAAGGAGAAAACAAAAATCATCTGTAATTAAATCCATAGTTAACCAACTACTATTCATTTCGTGATGTTCTTTTTCTTCAAAAAATTATAGGGAGGACTGAAGGAGTGGTTCAAGCGGTAAGAGTACCTGCATAGCAAGCGTTAGGCCCTGAGTTCAAACTCCAGTACCGTCAAAAAAAAAAGATAGCCAAATTATTTGTAACTTCTTTCTTTCTTCCTTCCTTTTTCTTTCTTTCTCTCAGTCTCTTTTTCTTTCTTTCTCGTTTTCTTTCTTTTCTCTTTTTTTCTAGTGCTAGGGATCAAACCCAAGGCTTCCACCTTACTAAGTAAATGCTCTTCCACTGAGCCCCAAACTTTGTGTTAACATAAGTAGTGTTCTACAGTGTAACTTTTTTTTAAAAAAACAGGACTGCACAGTTAATCTGGCATTTTATTTTTATTTATTTAATTTTGTGACTTAGTGGTATGGGTTTTGAACTCAGGGCCTGGAGCTTTCTAGACAGGAGCTCTACCACTTACTCCCTTATCAATATCGCACCTTTTTTTTTTTTTTGTAGTGGTACTGGGTTTTGAACTCAGGGCTTTGCTCTTGCAAAGCAGGCGCTCTACTGCTGGAGCTATACCGCCAGTCCTCTTAGAATTTTTCTTCCTGCTTCATCTACGATGTTTTGTTGTTTTTAGGCAGCACTGGGGTTTGAATTCAGGGCTTCAATCTTGCTAGGTGGGTGCTCTACCACTTGAAATGTTTCACCAAACCAGTGTCTAATTTCTTGCTCAAGTACTCTGATACCTTCAGGGAGCAATTGAATGGTCGTAGCAAATAGTCTCTTACTATTATCTAAATTATATTGGATAGGGAAACTGACAGGTATAGCAGGCTGAGAGTGGCCTTAATTGAAGAAAACAAAAGATAGGAGTGGAAAGGGACTGAGATTCAGGAGTTGAGGAGTGGATATGGAGGGTGTCAGTATAACTATAGAAAGATCCACTCATACATATGTATGAGAATATTTAGAATTCAAATATATGTGTAACTCTTTTGTAATCTATATATACCTACTGCCTATCATACATAATAGATGGTGTTTTGTTAATATTCATACAATATTTTTTTTTAATCAGTAAAGGGCCTCACACTTGCTAGGCAGGTATTTTACCACTTGAGCCACTCCTCCAGCGCAGTATTTTGAAAGCTCCTTTTATCACTTTAATCTTTGAATCTATCCTTTTAGTATTTATTTATTTATTACTGTTTTGTGGTTCTGGGGATTGAACCCAGGACCTCATGCATCCTAAGAATATGCTCTATCACTGAGCTACACCACCAGCCCTTGTTTTCATTTTTCTAAAACTTTCTCTCTATCACTGTATAAATGATTAAGGTTTGTTTCTCAGAAATCCTTAAAGCTTGGTGCACTGTGGTGCACTGGAAAAGTATTTAATATACTTGCTGAAGCAATTTGATCTTTTGTCCAAGCCTAACCAAAAAAACAAAAACAAAACTGTGGTGGTGGTGGGATGGGTGGGAAGATAACAAGTACACAACAGAAATGTGTCCTTATGCAGGAGTGTAACAAGTAGGGTTTGCAGTAGAGAGAACCAAGGTTTGCAGCTGAGTTGCAATATAGAACAGTTCAAATACAAGAGGATCAAGTAAATGAGAAGCTATGAAAGTTTTAAATGAATTTGACATATCTGTTGTTTTCCCAGCCCTTTAGAGTCATGCTACAAAGCTTTCCTCTTCCAGGAAGAGATACCTACTTAACTCACTTATGTGAATACAAATAAATGTATATTCTTACTGACTCATTCATTCAACAGTATTTGCTTACATGTGCCAGGCAATGCCAAGCAAAACAAATTGAAAGAGAGAGAGATAATACTCACAAATGTAAAGAAACAGTTACATACTGTCCATATCCTCTTCCCATGCAGGAAGGTGATAAAAACAGATGACTCTGTGGTGGACCGAGCCAAGGCCAATGCGTCCCTTTGGGAGGCCAGGTTGGAAGTCACAGAACTCTCTAGGATTGAGTATCGTGATACTTCTCGAAAACTGGCAAAATATAATGAGGAATTAAAGAAGCAACAGTATAAAATGGAGAAAGACACAATGTCTGTGTTAAGTTACCTGAAGAAGCAAGATCAGGAGAAAGATAATATGGTAGGTAGGTAGAAAGCCTTATTAGCTTCATTAACTATCCAGTTATTACGGTGTGGTTACACTTCTCAAAGATTTTTATTCTTTCAAATTTTGTTACATACTTAAGACATTACATTTAACTCAACAATTCCTTGAAGCAAGCTGCTATTTTAGAATGGTTTCACTGTCATTTTCTTTATTCTCAGTTTTGTCCCATGTTTTCTTATCTAAAACAAATAGATTGATGACCATAAGAGAACATTACAAACTATTCTATTTTGAGGATAAGAGCATGGTCTTTATCTTTGTTGATATAGAGCATGTGATCTATGTATCTTTGGTACTGATAAATATTTAGCTTTCACGATTTGTAAAGCAATTCACTAATAAGCCACACATTATGAACCCAACAATTGATCTCTCTCTCCTTTTTTTTTTTTTGCCAGTTGAATCTTGTATCTTATTGCACATTATTCACATGTTGAGAGTAAAACTATCATCTTACAGCTGGAAGAAAAAGGCATGAATGCCTGTAACCCCAACACTCAGAGGGTAAAGGCGGAGAGATGCAGAGTTTGAGGCCACCTTCAGTTACATAGTGAGGTCAAGTGCAGCTTGAGTTACGTAGGGAAATACTGTTTCACAAAAAAAAAAAAAAAAAAAAAAGTAAGCAACAAAAAAGTGGAATTTAGGTGTAACTCCAAATTCTTCTGCTTCCAAATTTTTCCTTGTGCTTATATAAGCTTCTGGGAAAGTCCAGCAGATTTCCACCATGTTGAGAACCGATGCTTCCTTCCACAAATGTTTGTATGTCTTTTTAAAGAACTATTTATGTATTTAAAAAAAAAGGGGAAAAGCCCGTATGTCTCCATAAAGAAGGCATTCTGTAGTTTTGTTTGAAAAAGTACTTAGAGCATCACACTGTATAAAAGTTTTACAAGTTTTTTTGAATTGGGGCCTCACAACATTGCCCACTTTGGTTTCAAATCAAACTCCTGGCTCCGACCTCCACGCAGCTCGGACTACATTCTTGCAACTCCACACTGGCTCATCCACTTGCTTTTAAACTTACTATTACTTTTTATGATATAGTCACAAAAGTCACATTAATTTTCTTAAAATTTATAGCGAGTATATTTTATTTTTTCACTCTTTTTTTGGGGGGGTGTTACTGGGGCTTGAACTCAGGGCCTTGAACTTGCTAGTAGGTGCTTTACCACTTGAGTCTCATGAACAAAAAAACACCTAAAAACTCGAAGAACCACTTATTCTTGCCCATCTTGCATCTCTACTTGAATTTAACCTGGGCCTCCCATCTGACTTTGCATTTAAGAGCCGGGTTTCTGAAGACATCCTTGTTGACAATAGTTTTGTCCAAGGGGATATCTAGAGAGTACCTTGTGAGCATAAGATGATTGTAGTTATAAATTTTCACAAAAAGACTTCATCTTTGACATCTTGGCGATTTTCTTCTTGTCCATAGCAGCTGTCACTTTGTGGGGATAGGGGTCAATTCCAGCCACCAGAGCATGACTATAGGGGTGGTATGAGGTGCCATCATCAGTGTCCTTCGTGATGATGGGTTTGCATCCAGAGTAGTGCCCAGATAGGACCAGTACCACTTTCCCAGGTTTTGTGAACTTGCCCATTTTCGACAGCAAGTAGCAGGCCCACAGCAGAAAGGAAGTTTTCATTGATTTTTAACTGTTTAATATTTCATTAAATAAATAAACCAACATTTATTTATCTGCCTGTTCGTCAGTTAGACTCCAATTTTCCATTGTTACAAACGGACCTTCAGTGAAGATTCTTGTGTTGTTTGCCTGTGCCCATGTATAGGAGATTTTCTAAACTAGACACCTGGAAGGGAGATTTTACATTATGGAGTAAGAACAGCTTCAGCTTCACAAGGATTTAAATTGAGCTTTAAAGGGGTTACAACAATTTATACTGTTATAAATGATGTATTAAGGTAGTACTCACACATAGGTCAGCACTTGATATTATATGTAATAATTTTTGCCAATCTTACGGGTATAAATTATTTTATCACTGTTGTCCTAACTGGTATTTTTCTGATTGCTAGTCATTTGAACATTTTTATGTTTCTTTACCCTTTTTATGTCTGTGTGTATGTGTGCTGGGGATGGAACCCAGGGCCTTACACATGCTGAGGAAGCACTCTACCACTGAGCTACACCCCAGCCCCTTCTCCCATTTTGTGGTGGTTGTATATTGGAGTGACGTAGAACATGGCTCCTACATGAGGATGGCATGCAAATTCACAAATCATTCCATGAAATCCAGTCTCATCACCCTGTTTAAATATTAAAACCACATCCATTTCAACACTTTCATATTTGTTTATTGTCCCTTTTACCAATTAGAATGAAACCAATAAAACTGAATAATCTGGGACCTTTTATTTTCAGTGCTATATGCCCAGTACCTACTACAGGGCCTAGACATAGAATTTTACCTTTTTTGAGCATGCGTTGAAAATACTTATACTTTGAGTGCTTGTTAATGTACTGGTGCTTTGAAAGAGTTAATAGCAACAAAATCTTAAGTTTGAGCTGGGCATGGTGGTATATGGCTATGCTCCCAGCTAGTCTCAAAACATGTGTGTTCACACAAATTATTTTAATAATTAGAAAAGAAGAAATAGTAACTTTTAAGTAGAGATACCTGGCAAACATAATTTTAACCAATTTATTAATATTAATCAACTTATGATGTATTAAAAGGGAGACATCATGACTTAAGTAGAACATGCCTGCCAAAAATGTATAACCTGGATGAACTCATGAGGAAACATGAGTATTTTTCAAAAATGTTGATTTGACAGACAGATAGGTGAGCTGGGAGTGTAGCTTAGTGGTACAGTGCATGGTTACCATGCACAGACCCTAGCACTGCGAGAACAAAATGAATAAAATAGTGCTTGCTTCAGCAACACATATACTAAAATTGGAATGATACAGAGAAAATTAGCATGGCCCCCTGCTCAAGGATGACGTGAAAATTCATAAGGTGCTCCGTATTTTTGTTTTTTAAAAAGAACAAAGTACAGAGATGGCTAGTGTATAGCTGAATGGTAGAGCCAAGGCCCACAGTTCAGTCCCCAGTACAATAAAAAAAGGAGAAGAAACAACAACTAAGAAAGTATTCCAGATTAGAGACCACGGCAAATAGATGCATTGTAGATACATAAAATATGGGATCAAAGATGGTATTGGGGAGTGAAAAAAAGCTGCAATAAAGGACATTATTGAGACAATTGGTTGCAAAATTTTAATGGGGTATAGATTAAGTAACAGTTTTATACTTAGGTTGAATTTCTACTTTGGATCATTGTTCTGTGCTTAACAATGACCTTTTTCTTGGGAAACTGAAATATTTACTACTAAGGGACATGATATCTGAAGCTTACATGATTTATTAAAAATATGTATACTGTAGCTGGATGCTGATGGTTCACCACCTGTAATCCTAGCTCTTGAGAGGCTGAGATTGGGAGGATGGAGGTTTGAGGCTAAACAGTTCTTAAGTCCTCATCCCTAAAATAATGACAGCAAGCCAGGTTCTGGTGGCTCATGCCTGGAAGCAGAGATCAGGAGGGATAACGGTTTGAAGCCAGTCCAGGCAAAGAGTGCACAAGACCCTATCTCAATGATACCCAACCCAAAAAGGGCTGGCAGAGTGGCTCAAGTGGTAGAGCGCCTATTTTGCAAGCATGAAGTCCTGAATTCAAACCCCAATTCTCACCAAAAAAAAAAAAGTATATGTATGTATGTATGTATCTGAAAAAGCAAATGTGGCAAAATTGATGTTTTGGTGATGGATAGGTGGGAACTCTTTATAGTCTGCCTGAAACTTTTTTTCAGTAAGTTGTCCATGGTAGGCACTTGCCTGTAGTCCTGGCTACTTTGGAAGCTGAGGTGGGAGGTCTACTTGAGCCCATGAATTCCAGACCAGTATGGGTAAACATAGTGAGTCCCTGTTTCAAAAATTAAAAAAACAACAAAACAGTTATCCAGATGAGAGAAATATAAATCAAAACTGCAGTGAGGGCTCCTGGTGCTTAGCATAGGCTGTGTTCTTACACTAACTGTATGCAAAGTAAACCTAGCCCATATACACTTCAGCCTCAGTCTGTGTTCAGTGCCTGGTCTGCCTGGTCTGTATTGTGAATAGGGACACATGGGAAAGAGAGAGGGAGGGAAAGGGAGAGGAAGAGTGAGATGGAGAGGAGAGGGAAAGAAACAACTGCATGAGCCATCACCTCAAACCCATTAGGATACTATCAGAAAGGAAAATACCAAGTGTTGGTGAGGATGTATAGAAATTGAAACCCTTGTATACTGTTGGTGGGAATGTAACATTCTATAGCTTTATGGGAACAGCATGAAGTTTCCTCAAAATATTAAAAATATACAATTACCAATCTCACTTCTGGGTATATAGGCAAAAGAATGCGAAGCAGGATCTCAGATATTTGCATGCCCAAGTTCACTGCAGCATTATTCACAACAGCCAAGAGGTGGAAGCACCTTAAAAACCTACTGACAAACATCTAAACAAAATTGGTGTATACGTACAATGGAATATTATGCAACCTTAAAACGTTTGTCACATGCTATAACATGGTAAACCTTAAAGACATGATAGTAAATGGAATAAGCTAGTCACAAGAAGTCAAGTGATGCATCATCTACTTATTTGAAATATATAAAGTAGAAGAAGGCGGTTGCGTAGAACTAAAGGGAATTAAGTGTTTAACTGGTATCGAGTTTTGGGTTTTTTTTTTTGCAGTACTGGGGCTTGAATTCAGGGCTTCATGCTTACTAAGCAGGTGCCTTACCACTTGAGCCACTCTGCGAACCCTTTTTTGTGATGGGTTTATTTGAAATAGGGTCTCTGGAACTATTTGCCCAGGGCAAGCTTCAAACCGCAATCCTAGCTGGGTGCTGGTGGCTCATGCCTGTAATTTTAGATACTTAGGAGGCAGAGATCAGGAAGATCACGGTTCAAAGCCAGCCTGGACAAATAGTTTGTGAGCTCCTATCTCAAAAAAAACAAAAAAAATCACAAATAAAAGGGCTGGTGGAGTGGCTCAAGATGTAGGCTCTGAGTTCAAACCCCAATACTACAAAAAAAAAAAAAAAAAACCAAAAATCACAATCCTCCTGAACTCTGCCTCCTGTGTAGCTCAGATTACAGTAGCCACTGGCTAGTTTCCACTTTGCAAGACGTAATGTTTTAAAGATTTTTTGCATAACAATGTAAATATACTTAACACTACTGAAGTGTATCCTTAAAATGGTTAAGATGATAAATTTAATGTTGTGTTTTTTACCACAATAAAAAAAGTTACCCAGGTAATTCTTTCCCACCTCCTCTTCCTTCCTCACTGTCTCTTCTATCCTACTCAGTTTTGTTTTATTTGGTGGTTGTACTGGGGTTTGAACTCAGGACCTTGCACTTGCTAGGCAGGCATTCTACCAGTTGAGCACAGCTCCAGACAATCCTATTGGTTTTAGTATTATGTAAAATACTAAAGCATATGAATAAAAGTAGGACAAACAGCAATTTCTTCACCTTCCTGACTCTGAATTTTCATGTTCTACAGATCGAAAAGCTGAAACAGCAGTTGGCTGAAACAAAGGAAAAAGCCCAAGAGGAGAAGGAAAGATTGGTGAATATCTATGTGTACTAATACTTTACTTATTAGGTGGTCAAGTTTCTCATGAGCTCAGTTATTTAAGACCCAATAAGAAGTGAAAGGGGTCTGGGAGTTTAGTCCAGTGGTAAAGCACTTGCCTAGCATTCTCAAGGACCTGGGTTTGATCCCCAGCACCTTAAAAAAAAAACCAGTAAGTGAAAATATTCTCTAAGCAGCTTAATACCCAAAAGCCCCCGCCACCACACTTGATTGTACAGAAGCTTATAAAGAACATATTGGGCCAGGCATGGTGATGCACACCTGTAATATCAGCTATTCAGGATGTGGAAAACAGGAGTGTTAGAAATAATGGCAATCACAAATCAGACGTGCTCAAAAGCTGATGGGCAAGATAAAATTTACTTCTGCAGAATGGTATACCTCCAGCCAGAGTCAGGCAGGCAAGCACACTGTGCAGGGAGTCCTGATCAGTTTTTAGCTGTCATGCAAATCTGCCCCTCATACTGATGGATAGGTTTGCGTTCACAGTCTTTGAGATGGGCTATTTAGAAAAGGGGGCACGAGGGATAAGGAGACCTTGAAGCAGAGAGAACAAGAAAATTCTTTTGGGCAATATTTATCTTTAAGCAAGCAGTTTGAGATTAGGACACTTGGCAATAAATAGCTCTTTGACCACAAGAACCTTGCAGAGCCAAGCAACTTCACAAAACATGAAGGCAGCAATTTGGGGAGGTTGGTAGCATCTATACAATGGTAGTTATACAATAACTCCTTTTACAGACCCTCATTGAGGAAAAACTGTGAGTGCTTAGGTGCCGTACAGTTAAATGCTGTACTGCAAGGACTTGATTCATTTTCCCATAACACTGACCGACTTCCACTGGACATGCCGCATTTTCACAAATACAAAGTTTTCACTTTATCACTTCACTTAAGCGCATTAACTTTTGCCTTGCTTTTTGGGTACCATTTGCTTTTTGGGAGGCAGATTTTTACAAAGTTAAGGGCAGGAAAACACTCAACAGATTAAACAAAGATTTAAGCACAACTGACCGTAACGTGACTGACTGAGAGCTTCTTCACATCAACTGAGCAGTGTAATGGTACACATTACACAGGAATTTAAGGTTTTTGTTTGTGCAGTTTCTTTTGATTTTATTTATTTATGTTTTATTTTTGGTAGGATTAGGCTTTGAATGCAGGGCTTGAATGCAGGGCTTCACTCTTGCAAAGCAGGTGCTATACCGCTTGAGCCACACCTCCAGCCCATTTTGCTATGGTTATTTTGGAGATAGAATCCCAGGAACTATTTGCCAAGGCTAGCCTCGAACTTCAGTCTTCCTCATTTCAGACTCCCAAAGTAGCTGGGATTACAGATGTGAGCCACCAGCACCTGGCTTATTTATTTGTTTTTTTTGGACCACACTTGGTCAAAACTTTGTATAATCTGTGAATGGGCTTGAGGCATAACTCAAGTAGTAGAGCTGTTGCCTAGCAAGTACGAAGCCCTGATATCAAACCCCAGTACCACAAAACAAAACAAAACTGTGAATAAGCTGGACTTACTATATCTATTATGCTGGGCATAGTGGTCCATACCTGTAGTCCAAGCTACTTGGGAGGCTGAAGCTGGAGGATTATTTGATGACAGTTTTTTTTTTTTTTGGGTGGTACTGGGGTTTGAACTCAGGGCCTCACGCTTGCTAGGCAGGCACTCTACCACTTGAGCCACTCCACCAGCCGCAGGAGGATTATTTGAGCGTAAAACAACAACAAGAAAAACCACGAAAGGCATGACAGCTCAAGCCGTAATCTTAGCTACTTAGGAGCTAGAGATCAGGAGAATTGAGGTTCAAGGCCAGCCCTGGCAAAAAAAGTTCTCAAGACTAAATTTCAACCAATAAAAGCTAGGCATGGCGATGTATACCCGACATTCAAGCTGTCTGGGAAACTTAAATAGGACCATAGTCTAGGCCTGCCCAGGCATAAAACTCAAGACCCCATTCAAATAATGACTAAAGCAAAAAGGGGCGTGACTCAAGTGGTAGAGCACCTGCCTCACAAGTTCAAGGCCCTGAGTTCAAACCCCAGAATCACCAAAAAAACTCAACAGTTTGAAATTGTAGAAAACTTAGAAAATTATCTGGTGTTAGGGGCACTTATTGATCCTGAGTTTATTGTTTCTAAGGCTTTTCAGCAGACATAACTAGGAAATGCTATTTTTTAATGAACTAGATCATGAGGGTTGGGGAAACAGCTTAGTGGTAGACAGCCTGCCTAGCATGCATGAGGCCCTGAGTCTGAGCTGCAGTACTGAAAAAAAAAAAATCATGGGTTCATACTAATACTTTCAATTCAGGTTCAGGAATATAGCTTTTTGGGAGTTTTGTTTTGGCTCTAGGGAATGAACCCAGATCTTGAGCATGCCAGGCAGGTACCTTGTCACTGGCTGATACATCCAACCTCAAAATATAGGATATTTGTTTAACCTTATCCACCTGTAACTCCTTTCTCCCTTGTCAAAAGTCTTGGTTCTTCATGATATCAATAATAATCATCTCACAAGAGTAATACCACCAACAGTGAATGAAACAGCTTAAGATTTTAGGGGCATTTTTCCCTAAATTATCTATACCAATAAAGGTCTATGATCAAAACCAAAAGTTAAAAGCCATGTGAAATTCTTTTCTGTGAAGGTTATTACCATCTCAAAGCACGCTTTAATTTTGAGTTTTAGAGAGTTTTTAAATTTGTTTTCTTTTTATATTTAAGTGTTGGGGACCGAACCCAGAGCCTACTCTACCACTGTATTACACGCATACAAATTTTACAGAAATTAATCTGTATGCAAAATTAAACCTTTATGCAAAATTAAAATGGGCATTTCTTTAAAGAAGATATACAAATGTCTCTAGGCTTGCCTTTTTTTTGAATACAGGAACAAAAGTATACTATACAAATAAATGAGCTGGAGGGACGGTTCCATCAAAAATCCAAAGAAATTGGCATGATTCAAACAGAGCTGAAGACAATAAAACAATTTCAGAAGAGAAAAATCCAAGTGGAGAGAGAATTAGATGATGTAAGTTACCTTGTTTTAAAGTTTAGAATTAACTATTTATGCCTGTAAAAAATCTTTTATTCCTGTGAGATAGCCAAGAGCTCTCTTTGTTATTTCAGAGATTATTTGAAAGAAAAAGAGGAAGCTGAAGGTCTTGACCCTTAGACTGTTCTTTTTCTAAGCATTAATTTCTTTGTGAACTTACCAAATGTCAGCCAACACACCTTCCACATTTCTCAGCAGTTAAATCTTTGGATTGACTTCAGTAAGAAGCAAACTACCAGTTATTAGAAAATATCAGGGCAAAAATAGCAAAATTGTAAAGGAAAATGTGTTTAGCCTGATGAATGATAATTTTAGAAAAAAATTAGAAGGCTGTGTGGGTAGTGGTAAGTGTAGTGAGGAAGACCATGTACTTTCAGAAAGTTTCTCTGACCTTTTTATGAAGGCTCTTTCTCCTAATTTCCATTCCTTCAGCTTAGAATGTAGTTTTATTGCATTAGTCATAATGCAGTAAGTGTTATAGGAAACTGAAATCAGCTTTGTGACTGTAGGCAAGCTATTTAACCTTCCTGTAACTTGGTTTCCTCATTTCTAAAATGGGGATACAAGTTAACTGTCTCAGGGTGGTTAAATGAAATAGCACATGTAAAGTACTTAAAATAGTACATGTCACATAATGAGAATGTATATAAACAGTGATGTGCTACTTTCTGCAAAAATACACACCCCATACCCCAAATTTAAAGCATTTGCTGGTTTCATCTGAATGTTTGATTGGAGATTGAAAATTTGCTTCCAAGATGGTACACTCCACATGGCTATCCAGTTGGTGTTGGTGATTATAGGAGGCCAAAGCCTCTTCCCATCAGGGACTCTAATCTGCTTGAGTGAGTGTCCTTGTGACTTGGTAGATGACTTCATCTAGGGCAAATAATCTAAAAGAAAGCCAGGCAGAAGCTATCTTTTTTTTTTTTTTTTTTAATGGTCCTGGGTATGGAATCAAGGCCTTGTGCATGCTAGGCAAGTGCTTTACCACTGACCACTTTTTTTATGATAGCCTTGCAAGACACATAACATTGCTTCTGCCATAATCTGTTAAAAGTGAGTCCCTGATCTTTAAAACATCGGTTCTGCTGATGTTCTGGTCACCTCCCTCAAGAATCTTTAGGATTTCTCCACTGTAAACAGAATGTTATTTAGACTCCTTAGTGTGAAAGTTAAGATTCTACACCTACCTATGGATATTATAATTTTCTGTAATGGATTGGGGTTTGAACTTGCATAGCAGGCATTCTACCTCTTGAGCCACTCCATACCTCTAGTCCATTTTGGTCTTGTTTTTGGAGATGGGAGTCTCCTGAACTATTTCCCTGGGGCTGGCAATCCTCCCAATCTCAGCCTCCCTAATAGCTAGGATTACAGGTGTAAGTTACCACCTGTAGCTGACAACACATTGTAATCTTTTCCTACAGTATCCTTGCTCTCTTCTCATACACACACTCCCTTTAATCCACTCAAACTTGGTTTCCACTTAGCTCTGAAGTTTTGTTTTGTTTTTCCTGTGGTAGGGATTGAACCCAGGGTCTTGGTCATGCTAGGCAAGCACACTACATGAGCTACTTTCTTACTTTGTTCACACTGTCTTTTGTCTGGAATATATTCCTGATCTCTGTCCATTAAATTTTTACCCATCTCTCAAAGGCCCAGCTCCAGTGGGTGTTCTCTATGAGGCCTTCCCCCAGAGGCCAAGACTCTTGGCCTAGTGGAATGGCTCACATGGTAGAGTACATGCTTAGCAAGCATGAGGTCCTGAGTTGAAACCTCAGTACCACAACCACCACCACCACCAACAAAATACTCTTAAGCTGGTCACCGGGGGCTCACGATTATAATCCTAACTAGTCAGGAGGTAAGAATCAGGAGGATTGAGATTTGAGGCCAGGCCAGGCAAATAGCTCGTGATATCCTACCTCGAAAATACCCAACACAAAACAGAGCTGGCAGAGCAGTTCAAGTGGTAGAGCTTGCCTAGCAAGCGTGAAGCCCAGAGTTCAAACTCCAGTACTCCAGTTCAAACCCCAAAACCCTTTTTGCCCTGTGTGTTGGTACACACATCTGTAATCCCAGAATCCCAGTACTCGGGAAGCAAGGCAGGAGGATCGCAAACTCCAGGTCAGCCTGGACTATATAGCGAGCTCCAGGACAGCCCAGATTACATAGTGAGACCTATCTCAAAAAAAAAAAAGAAGAAAAAGGTTTCTGTACCTTTCCGTGGTGTTTGGTTTTATTTTATACTAGTTTACCCAGCCTATCTTGACATTATATTTATTTGTTTTATCTCCCCTATTAGATTGTAAATTCTTTGGGTCACGAATTTGTATTCACTTAAATACTAGATACACAGCTGGGATTCAGAAACCCTTTTCATTAAACGCCGACGGGCGGCTGGCGCCTGCGCACTCGCGCTCTCGGCTCTGGGCGGACGCGGGACTGCCGTGACGCAGTGTGCCGCACCGCCCAGCTCGCGCGGGTTGGCCGTTTCGCTGCTGGGGGCGCCAAGATGGCAGAGCAGCCTTCTCCACGGAGGCCGGCGAAGCAGGTGTGCCCTTTCCTCTTCAAAAAGCCCGGGCGGAAAGGGACTGCAGGCCGCAGGAAGCGCCCGGTGTGCGACCCGGAGCCGGGAGAAAGCGGCAGCAGCAGTGACGAAGGCAGCAGTGTGGTCCGACCGGAGAAGAAGCGGGCGACCCGCAACCCGATGATCCAGAAGACCCGCGGCAGCGGTAAACCGAAGGCGGCCCACGGCGACCCAGCAGCGAGGAGGAGGAGCAAGAGGAGAGTGAGGGGCTGGGGGTGGCCTACAAGTCCACGCGCTCGGCCAAACCCGCGGGCCCGGAGGATATGGGGGCTACTGCCGTCTACGAGCTGGACACAGAGAAGGAGCGAGACGCACAAGCCATCTTCGAGCGCAGCCAGAAGATCCAGGAGGAGCTGAAGGGCAAGGAGGATGACAAGATCTATCGGGGAATCAACAATTACCAGAAGTACATGAAGCCCAAGGATACATCCATGGGCAATGCGTCCTCCGGCATGGTGAGAAAAGGCCCCATCCGAGCGCCTGAGCATCTCCGTGCCACCGTGCGCTGGGATTACCAGCCCGACATCTGTAAGGACTACAAAGAGACTGGCTTCTGCGGCTTTGGAGACAGCTGCAAATTCCTCCATGACCGATCAGATTACAAACACGGGTGGCAGATCGAACGAGAGCTTGATGAGGGTCGCTACGGTGTCTGTGAAGACGAAAACTACGAAGTAGGGAGTGATGATGACGAAATGCCATTCAAGTGTTTCATCTGTCGCCAAGCCTTTCAAAACCCAGTTGTCACCAAATGCAAGCATTATTTCTGTGAGAGCTGTGCACTGCAGCATTTTCGCACCACCCCGCGCTGTTATGTCTGTGACCAGCAGACCAATGGCGTCTTCAATCCTGCAAAAGAGTTGATTGGTAAACTGGAGAAGCATCGAGCTGCCGCAGTGTGTGGTGCTTCTAATAGCCCAGAGGATGCCGATGGGGTCTAACTCCCATTACTTAGGTTTTCCATAACTGTCAAATTCAAAATATTTTATTTTTCTTTTGGTCATCTCAACAAAACTCACCAACCATCTATAACTGAAGGAATGTCAAGGTTTCTAGAAGAAATATCAAGGTTTTTTTTTTTATATGAAAATGTTGCAGATTGAATATATTTAACTTTTAAGGAACTCTCAAAATAGTCATCCTATATATATCTATAGATATATAGATATATATGTATCAAAAGGAATTAGGAACTAGCTCAAATTCTGGTGAGCCATAGTATGATTTTTTTTTTTTCTTTCTAAAAACCAATGTTGCCGCCTGGTGGAGAAACAGATTTCACACCTTTGTAAGAGAACTGTTGAGGAACACTTAAAATTCGAAGGCAAAAGTATTGGCTTATGGGGAAAAAACAAGGTGGTTCTGTGGAATCTCAAATATAGAGAAAATAAGGCAGTTGGGTGGGGGATCATGTAGCTAAAATTGGAAGGCATACATTAAGAAAGAAAATTTTACTTTTTATCTAGAATTTATTGGACAACTTGAAAAGAGACTGGTTATATTAGATTACATTTTAAGGAAAAAAGTAGAAGCTGATGTTGTGATACACAGCTGTAATGCCAGCTACTCAGGAGGCTGAGGCAGGAAAATCACATAGGCCAGCATAGGAAGACACCATCTCCCACCAAAAAAGAAAAAAAAAAATATATATATATATATATGATTAACAGCAGAAACATAGAGGGTTGCAGGTTTTTTTGTTTTTTGGGGTTTTTTTTAGTAGTTTTAGTCTTTTGGCAAAGTGATAATGCTCATTTCAGCAAATTTAGCTTAGTGGATAAAAAAAGAAAACAACCCAAATTCCCACAATTACACTACCTAGAGATAATCATTTTTAACATTTTGTTGTATAGTGTTTGCTTTTTTCCTTCTGCTATGTAGAATACGCATAAAATATCTATATGCTATTTTCACAAAAGTAAGTTCATGATGTACAAATTGTTAACCTGATTTTTCACTTTCTATATTGTGAACATTTTTCAGTACCACTAAATATTTTTCTATAAATATTTGAATAAATATGGAATTCCATTGAGTAGATATAATTTATTGATTGTTCCTTTGGACTTACTATCAAATAGTGAACAGGAATGAAAAGTTTTCTGTATCTTTAATTAGCTTTTAGGGTAACTTCTTAGAAGTGAAATTTATGGGTTTAAGAACCTGAATTATTAGGCAAGTTAGTATGTGCCTATGGTACCAACAGAGGCAGGAGGATGGCTTGAGGCCAGGAGTTTGGGGCTGTGATGTACTGTGCTGATTGGGTGTGTGCACTGAGTTCATCAATATGGTGACCTAGGAGCAGGGACACTAGGTTGCAAGTATTGGTCAGCAGTGGGATCATGCCTTTAAATAGTCTCTGCACTCCAGCCTGGGTAACATAGCAAGACCCCATCTATCTCTTAGAAAACAAAACAAAACACGAGCTTTAAGGTTTTTAATGTATGTTGCCTAATCATCTTTTGAAAGATTAATTTATAGAATTTGGGGGGAGTCTAATGGCATATGCGAGGTCCATTTCCATAGATACCAGGATAGAAGATGTTTTTATAAATGTGTATGCTGTATTAATTTTGAAAGTCTTTGATAATACAAGAAGCCGTTTAAAAATTATCTTAAGACATTGAGGAAGAACGAACATCTGAAAGAGATCATATAAAGTGGAGATTGAATACATTAGAATACAGTAGAGAAAATGATTAAGTATAGGGGAATACAATATTAAACATATTAGGTAAGCTTTATATTAAATGGTTACTATGTTAAATACTTTACTTGTATTATAATCCTACCATACTCCTATGAGATAAATACTATTACTATCCTCTTTTTATACCTGGCAACCTGAGGCTTAGAAAAATTAAGTGACTGCCCAGAATCAAACAGCTGGTGAGAGAAGCAGCATTTGACTTACCCTCTGATGGAAAGCTCTGTACTACTGCCTTTTTTGTTACATAAATATTAGATTAAGTATGCCCATTTCAATATTACTCATCTTTGCCACTAAATATAGACCACAGCCTCATTGCTTTAAACTAGTTGAAATTCTTTACCTAAAAGAATTTTATGTCCTTTTTATTCAATATAGTTTAGAGAACATAAGTATGATGCATATGAATCATGAGGAGGTGTTTTTTAGATTGATACTGGGAAGAATTTTTTTTTTAATGAGAACTATTATTAAAGAGCAGCCTGGTTTATAATGAGATTTGAATTAGTGATATTTCTGTCTTACAACATTTTTCTCAGAAGGGATTCCTATACTGGGTGAGAGAATTGCATAATGTAGCTCCTAATGTTCCTTTCATTTTAAAAATTTTATGATTCTGTGATTCCACATTTGAAATAAGATATTTGGAAAATATGATTATGAGAACAAATTTTCTGAATGCTTTGAGAACTATTATTGATAAAAGATTTTTTAAAACCTCAATACTTGCCTCACATGTATGAGGCTCTTGAGTTCAATCACCTGTACCACAAAAAAAAAAACCTCAAAACTAATCTTGTAAATCTATAGAAGATTGAGGGAAATACAGTACTCAGAAGCAAGGACACTGAATTTTTCTGTGCATTTAGGATTAGGAGGTAATGTACAACAGAATGATTCTTTATTGAGAATTTTCTATGAACATGCTCCAGTCAACCCCATTTCCTTTTGACCATTCTTTGTTTTTCAAATTTTAGGTGAAAGAAAATTTAAGGAACACAGAGAAGAAACATCAGGAGACTCTTAGAAGACTGGAAGGCAAATTTTTTGAAGAAAAGGTACAGAATACTAGGGTTAATTAAGAAATGTTTTGTAAACCAGGTCTGGTGGCTCACACCTATATTCCTAGTTACTTGGGATGTGGAGATTGGGAGGAGCATTTTTAGAAGGTCAACCCAGGCAAAAAAGTTCCTGAGATCACCATCTCAACCAATAAAAGCTGGGTGTGGTTGCAGGTACCTGTCATCCCAGCTACAAGAGAAGCTTAAATAGGAAGATTTCAATCTAGGCAGGCCTTGCCATAAATGCAAGACCATATTGAAAAATAACTAAAGCAGAAAAGGCTGGACACAGCTTAAGTGGTAGAGCACCTGCTTAGCAAGCACAAGGCCCTGATGCAAAAAAAAAAAAAGTTTTGTTTACTAGAACAAAGGTGTATTTATATGCATTCTGAGACATCCTAACATTCCATTTGGTATCTTATTAGATACCAGAAGATGGGTATAGTGGTAGACACACCTCTAATTCTATCTCTTGAGAGACTGAGGCAGGAGATTGTGAGTTCAAGACCAGCCTGGGTATATAGTGAGGTCCTGTTTTAAAATAACAACAAGGGCTGGCAGAGTGGCTCAAGTGGTAGAGTGCCTACCTAGCAAGCATGAGGCCCTGAGTTCAAACCCCAGTACCGCCAAAAAAAAAAAAAACCCTTTAAAACAATAGCTACAACAAAAAGTCATAGCAGAATAAAAACCAGGGAAAACAAAACCTTCCACTGTAGAGACCTCAGTGTCCATTCCTTTTTTTCTCCCTTTCATTTAGAGATTCATTCTTTTTTAAAATTACCCATAATGGGTTACTATGTAATGTTTTGATACATGAATACATTCTGCAATCCTTAAATCAGATTAAACATATCTGCTCACACGTTTATCAATTCTTTATAATGAAAACTTTCAAGATCCTTCTAGATTTGAAAGGCGCAGTACATTATTGTTACCTATAATCACACTACTATGCAATAGCACATCAGAACTTCTTGCTGGTATCTCACTGTAATTTAGCTCCATTGATCAATCTTTCCCCATCCCATTTCTTTCACACTCTCCTCCCCTCTGTTAACTACCATTCTACTTCTGAACTTCTGTGAGACCAACTTGCTCATTTTGTTGTACTACTAATAGAACCCAGGCCTTGCACCTGCTAAACAAGTACTTTACCACTGAGCTATACCTCCAGCCTTAGACAAACCTGTTTAAATTCTACAATATCTCCTATTCTTTCTGTGCCTGGCTTATTTCACAATTAGCATAACAAAGTCTAGTTCCATTCATTTACTGCACATGATTGGATTTCATTGTTCTTGACGGGCACTTAGGTTGTTTCCATTCAGAGACACTTGAAATATTCTCAGAAGGGATTGTCATCTGTCCCAAGGCTTCAGGCCTCAGCTTGGTGTTCTTTCTCTTAGTGAGGTGAAAGCTACATGTATCCTGTATAAAATGGGATTGGAGAAGTCATTCTAGTGTGTGTATAAGGGTGTTCCCTTTGTCAAGTGGAGCTAAGGGTGTTAAAAAAAAGGCAGGGGGGGTGCTCAACGTTGGGCAGTTATGGCTCACACCTGTAATCCTAGCTACTCAGGAAGCAGAGATCAGGAAGATCGTAGTTTGAAGCCACCCCAGGCAAATAGTTTCACAGGACCCATCTCGAAAAAACCCTTCATAAAAAAGAGCTGGTGAAGTGGCTCAAAGTGTAGGCCCTGAGTTCAAGCCCCAGTACTGCAAAAAAAAAAAAAGAAAAAAATGTTCCTTAGTCTATTATAAACTTCCTGGTTTCTTGTGTCGCTGAAGTTAATTCACCAAATTAGGGAAAATTCATTGGAACACTTTTCTTCCACAAAATATTTTCAGAGGTTCATGGCTTTAATTCCTTTGTTTCTTTTTCATTCTTAGGAAAGAGAACAGATCCTTTCAGATACTGGAAGGATTGTAGGGAGTTGAGGGCAAGAAAAATAAAAACTCATGAGGTTTAGGTAAAAAGAAATGCTTTAAAAAGTAGTTCTAGGAGGAGGATGAGAAAGAGTGTCAGAGGGGTAAATGTGCTTACCCCCATACAATGTACATTTTACACATGTATGAAATACCATAATGAGGGCTGATGGGGTGAATCAAGTGGTAGAGCGCTTACCTAGCAAGTGTGAGGCCCTGAGTTCAAACCCCAGAGTCACCAAAAAAAAGAAAGAAATATCACAGTGACACTCCTTTGTACAGCTAATATATGTTAATAAAAAGAATTTTTTTTTAAAGAGTAGTTCTAAGGCCTGGGGCAGCTCAGTGGCAAAATATGTGTTTAGCCTTCCTGAGACCTTGGGTTCAATCACCACTACCAGCATGCACACATACAAAAATACAGTGGTGGCTCTAGGTTTCTAGTTTGCATATGAAATTACCTGCAGGAAGTGAGGCAGGCACAGCACCTGTTGCTTCCTTTCTGAGTCCCTTCCTGGTACTGTCAGGAACAGCAGCCCTCAAGGATGAACTGTTCTTAGTTTCCTCTCCTTTCTACTCCACCCTAATTTTGGTCTCTTTTTTTTTTTAATGTCAGTAAATTATTTAATAATTTTACATGTTTTGGTTGGTTTTACTGCACATCAAGGTCACCTTTAAAGTTGATTTTTCTTCCAGGATAGCCCTCTTTAAAAGATGCTTAATCCAGTTGTCCTGAGGACCTGTGGGATTTAATTTCCTGAAGGAATTTATTGTTCAGTCCTAGGAGATTAATTATAGAAAGCACTTTATAAATACCAAGTTTTTCTAGGAAACATTTTTCTCATTGCATCTTTTCATCCATGAGCTTAAGCAAAATGTTACAGATCTCATTGTCACCACTGCAGTGCATTTACTGTGATGGAAGCATGACCTGTGTCTCAATTTAGCCACATTGACCAATCTAGGACACCAATCAGCAGTGCCCCCTCTCATCTGGAATGAGGCAAATTTTGGTCTCTTTAGAAGAACTTGGTCAGTTTACAGAATACCTGAGTAATAGTACTTATATAAATAGGATTTTTATGTCTGAGAACAGGTGGCTCCTGAACTTTGCTTCATGGTTGCAAGATGGCTACTAGCTCTAAGTGTTGTGTCTAAGGCAAGAAAGAAGGAAGGAAGGCTGTAGATATATCTGCCCCTTTTTATCTGAGGTCATTAAAACTTTCCCAGAAGATGCTGGCAGATTTCTTTTTACATCTACTTGGCCATGTTACAAAGGATACTGTGAAAATGGCTGTTTTGTTTTTCTGGCCACTAGTGGAAGCTGGGATGGAAAGGGGGGAAGGCGCAGGAATAAGTGTTGGTTGACCAGCGCAGCAGAATCTGCCTTACTATGTTGGTACAGACTTCATGGGTATTCTCCCATTCTGGTTTGGGCCCCAGAACTGCTGCTTGATGGCAGTGGGCTTTGCAGTAATATATGTAAAGCTCTTAAAACTATGCCTGATACATAGTAAATTTTCAGTATGTTGTCATTATTATGATTTAGCTCCTTCCCTATGATAGGAAATCCATGAGATCAAGGACCTTATCTTTTTTGTTTACCATAGAATCTCTGATAACTAAAACAATTCAGTACAGCAATAGCGTCCAATAGGCATTCATTGAATGAATAAATGTGTAACTCTCACCACATTAGATTTAGGAGAAACTTCTTTCAGCTCTGCTTTTTATAATGTGGATTTTGCTTCCTTCTCCTCTCCCCTTACCCATGTATATGTCATGTTCCGTGGGGAAATTGGTAGGTTTCCTAAGGTTCTTATCATACTATCCTTTTTGATGGCTCCTTCATCAATACTTGGAGTTCTTCACTTCACGTCAAGTGGACAGGAGTATTTTATTTGACATTCTGAAGTAATAACTTCTGATGTATAAAATTTGTTCTTAAAATGTAATTCTGTATTTAAACGTTTTTTTCTTTCCAAGCAACGTCTAGAAAAAGAGGCTGAAAAGAAGATAGTAATGCTGGCAGAGAGAGCCCACAATGAAGCTGTGGTGTAAGAGACTGTTGCCTCCTTTCTCAGATAGCCTCCATATCTCTATGCTGATCTGTTTTCTTATCCTCTCCCTTTTCTCCTGGCTAGCTTTCTTCAGATGTTCTGTCTACTCTTACTCACTGTTTCTTTCTCTTTGTGTTCCCTACCCCTTGCCTCTACCTCCTCTGTAGCAGCATGATGTGATAGAAAGAACCTGACTTGGGGTTCAAACCTAGACTTTGGTTCTCAACATGTATACTAATTGGTCATTGAAGGAATTACTAACTTTCTTGAAATTAAATTTCTTCATCTGAAAATGGGACCACTGGGTGTAGCAGTACATGCCTATAATCCTAGCTCTTGGGAAGCTGAGGGAGGAGGATCATGAATTCTAGTACATCCTGGGTTACATAGAGACCCTGTCTCAGAACACCCTCCCAAATAGGGTCATAATAGCAACTTTGCAGGATTGTAATGAGGTTTATTAGTGGAAGTAATATGAAAGTGCATTATATTGATAAATGACTTCCAGGTCTCAATGATTTATCTCTTCCCCATGTAATAATCCCACGTGGGGCTGGCAGCTTTCTTCCAGTGGTGATTCAGGAACTTGGGCTGCTTCCATCTTTTATCTCTGCCTCTTTGGAGTTCTTCAGGTCTAGTCACGTGGGTAGGAGAGAGCATAGGAAACTTATACCTGGAAGTAACATGTTCCTTTTTTTTTTTCTTCTAATTTGAGACAGGGTCTCACTGTGTAGCCCAGGCTGGTCTCAAACTCAAAATTCTCCTGCCTGAGTCACCCATGTTTATAGGGATTCATCACTATGCCCTAACACATCACTTTTCACTTTTCTATTGGTTAAGAACTTAGTTACCTTACTTATTGAGTACATGAGTAGTAGTCACGTGTGTGTATGTATGTGTTGCTAGGGATCAAACCCATGGCCTGACACATGCTAGGCAAGTGCCACTGAGCTGCATATCTAGTCCAGTGGTGACCATTAATAATGTTGGAGATTGATAATAATTAATAATGTTTGACAATACCCAAAACTTAGGCCTATGTTTTGGATTCTTATATCTATTTCAGACAATTGAATACTGCTGGAAGAAATGTCTTTAAAGAGAATATTTATCTCCAACGAGCTCTTACATACCACATGAAGGAAGCTGATACCCTACAAAAAAGCTCCCAAAAGTTGCAAGAGAGTCGTACTCTCCTTTTACATCAAAAGGTTCTCCCTCTCATTTGTTTCCATCTTATTTTTTTTTAAAGGATTGGGTTGGTAAATACCAAGGATTGACTATAATAACAATTAGACAACAGCACCATTTTTTTCTATCTGTATCATGCACTTTTCTTACAGACAGATTAAATATTGAATGATTTATAAGGAGCATTAGGCATGACTTTATAAAGAATATTTCATCAAACATGATTCTTATTCTCTGCTACCTTAGAATGTTCATTTTGCTTTACTTCTAATTGGTCCCTAAATCACTTAGGAATTGGCTTGGCTATAAGTAACAGACCTGACACCATTGGGTGTCACCACATAAAGGTTTTATTCCTTCTACGAAAGGAAGTCTGGAGGTAAGCAATCCAGAACAGGAATGGTAGTGCCACAAAGTCAAGAGACACTTGGCTTCCTTAACTCAGTTCTGCAATATGTGACTTATATCCTCAAAGTTGCCTCATGGCCAAGGTGGCTAATAGAGCTTAACCATTACTCCAAAGAGCAGAAAGGAAGGATATGAAGAAAAAAAAAAAAACAGTGTGCCCCTCCCTTTAGAGATTTCCTGGGTGTCCTACACATAATTCTACTATGTGTCACTGGCCAGAACTTGACTATGCTGAATTGCAATGGAGGCTGGGTATTCTCAGCTGGGTCTACTACCTTCCTGAATAAATTGGGGTTTTAGTTACTAAGGAGGAAAGGGAAAGGGAAAATGGACATTGGGATAGGCAATTAAGAGACTACCACAGTAGTAGTAGTTAATGTTTTACTGTGTAGTTTTATTGACTTACAATATTTAACCTTTCAGAATTCTAGAGGAAGTTTGAGTTTCATAATTAGCAAAATCAGTGGATTGCCGTCATAAGTCCAGACAAGGACCGAAGGATGTTTCTTAGTTTCTATACATACAAATACCAAAACAATCACCTTCTCATCCTGGCATCAAACTCAGGTTTCATGAAGTAATGGAAATTATTGAGGAACTTTTATGTTCTGGAATGCTTTAAAAAAAGAACAAACATTTATACCTCTTTCATGTTTTCTGTTTTTAGGAAATCAATGAGCTGTTGATTAAGGAAAAGATTATGCAACTTACCCAGCAGAAATCACAAATCCAAACTCTTCAGAAGAAGGTAGTAAGCTTGGAGAATGCTCTGAGTTATATGACCAAAGAGTTTGAGGCTGAAGTTTCTAAACTGCAGCAACAGGCAATGATAGAGAACCAAGCAGGTCAGGTAGAAATTGACAAGCTACAGCAGCTTCTTCAAATGAAGGACAGGGAAATGAATCGAGTGAAGAAACTGGCCAAGAACATACTGGATGAGAGAACAGAAATGGAAAGTTTCTTTCTAGATGCTCTACATCAAGTGAAGCAACAGATCATAGTCAGCAGGAGACATTATAAACAGATAGCACAAGCTGCTTTCAATTTAAAAATGAGAACAGCATGTGCAGGAAGAACAGAGTATCCCAAAATCAGAACATTTGATGGCAGAGAACACAGCACCAATAGCATGAATCAGGATCTCATAGAGGCTGAAAAATGGTACTAAGGCCACTTTAATGTATTTTCTTTTTGTACTATTTTTGTGTCCTTCAAAGAAATAATGTAGAACAACTTCAGTTAGTTGCCTCCTTTTTTCTCATGACAGAAATTTGTTATAAAGAGATTAGATTATTTGTGGTATAGGATGTTGCTGTAATTTTTTTTACCTTGTTCCTTTATCTTATTTCCTATAAATTGGGAATTGGTTATGAATTAGATTCAGCTTAAACATTTTTTGGTAAGCATACTATTTGGAATATTTTATGATGTGCTCATAAATTTTATCCTGAGATGAAATTCATAGATAAGTAATATCTAACTATATAATTTTCAAAACTTCAATTTAATATTTATAGCAATTCTTTTTTTTTTTTTTTTTGTGGTACTGGGCTTGAACTCAGGGCCTACACCTTGAGCCACTCCACCAGCTTTTTTTTGTGTGTGTGAAGTATTTTTGAGATAGGGTCTCACGAACTATTTGCACAGGCTGGCTTTGAACCACAGTCTACCTGATCTCTGCCTCCTTAATAGCTAGGATTACAGGCGTGAGCTGCTAGTGCCTGGCTGTAGCAGTTCTTTCTTGTGTAGAAGTACTCTGTGGATACTCAGTAGTGGCCTCCCACATAATTGTATTAACTAAAATTCTCCCCCAAATTTTAAAATACACTGTAGAGCTCTCCTGCCACTATGATAAAGGTAGTAAAATGTTTCAAACAGTTGCAGACTATATACTATAATAATGCTTCATTTTGGCATTTTGTCTCTTAGTACAGTCTTCTGCTTACAAATCATTCCTTATAGTGCATTTTGAAATTGCAGTATAATTGGATTCTTCAAAGGACTTAACTGAAACTAGGTGCTGGTGGCTCACACCTGTAATCTTAGCTACTTGAGAGGCTGAGATAGGGAGGATAGTGGTTTGAGGATAGTCCAGGCAAATAGTTTGCAAGACCCCATCTCTAAAATAACCAGAGCAAAGTGGATTGCAGCTGTGACTCAAGTGGTAGAGTGCCTGCTTTGCAAGTGCAAACTGAACTCAAATTGCAGTCCTACCAAAAAACAAAAACAAAGAAACATAAAAGGACTATATTCTACTATGAGCTTACATCTTACTAAACAGTGCTTCCAGGTCCAGGGGTGTGGCTCAAGTAAGTGTCTGCCTCATAAATGCAAGGCCCTGGGTTCAAACACCAGTACTTTTTTTTTTTTAAAGAGTGCTTTCAAATGTGGTTTTTGCTTTATATTAATACTATTACTATTTAGTAGGGGGAAGCAGTGATGGGGATTGAACAGAGGACTTGTGCATGTTGGCTGCAAGTGCTATAGCACTGAGCTTCATTCTCAATTACTAAATAATAATAATTATTATAGTAATTATTACTATTATTCTTGGGGGGCACAGTACTGGCAGTTGAACTCAGGGCCTCTTGCTTACTAGCCATGTTGGTGCTTTACTACTTGAGTTACTCTGCCAGCCCCCACCCCCTTTTTTTGGCAGTATTGGGGTTTGAATTCAGGGCCTCATGCTTGCTAGGCAGGCGCTCTTTCCACTTTCCACTTGAGCCACTCTGCACCAGTCCATTTTGTGTATGTATATATGTATGTATGTGTTTATGTGTGTGTGTCTGTGTACACACACACGTGTATTATGGGGTTTATTTGAGATTGGGTCTCCTGAACTATTTGCCCAGGGCTGGCTTCGAACCTCAATCCTCCTGATCTCTACCTCCCTGAGTAGCTAGGATTTACAGTACCTGGCTTACATGTTGTTTTCTAAATTTACTTTTTTATCACTCTGTTTTCATAGTAAAATGTTTACTTCAAAGAGAAATGTTAAAAACAACTCTCAGTAATCTCTCCAATGTTTTTTTTAACTTGTTCCCTTTATCCTTGCATATACCTAGATACAGTGTTACATTACAGTATTCTTTTTGCGGGTGTGGGGGGCGTGTGGGAGGTGCTGGGGTTTGAACTCAAGGCCTTGCTCTACCACTTGAACCATGCCTCTAGCCTATATTACAGTATTCTATTTTGCCTTTTTGCTTAATGTTTAAGTACAAGTATGTTTTGTGTTAAAAGTTTTTGTCATTTTCATCTTAATGATGACTACATCACATTTCAGGTTTATGATTTTGTAATGGATATAATTTGCTTTGTAGTGATTACATAATCAGTTATGTTTATTTACATATTTTACATTTTTTAAAAAGAAGAAAAACACTGGTGTAGTGGCTTAAGTGATAGGGTGCCTGCCTAGCAAGTATGAGGCACTGAGTTTAAACCCCAGTGCTGCCAAAAAAAAAAAAAAGAAGAGGAAAAGCTGACTTTGACTACATTTTTCCTTTTCACTTTTTTTTCTTTGAACTTCTTTAGGACAAGTACTCAAAGAAATGTGGATATTGGAGATTTGACCTGGGAACAGAAGGAGAAAGTCTTGAGATTGCTTTTTGCAAAAATGAATGGTTTTGCTTCTAGGTAATTTCCTATTTTTACAGTGAAATGCAAAGTTGTTACGAAACCTAGAAACCACATTGGAACAATGAATTTACTCAGAACTGAAGGAAATATATTAAAGGATGAGGAAATATAAAAAGGTTTTATTGGCTTAGCTACTACAACTCCCAGAGACAAAAAATGGAAGATGAATGAATAAGCATGAAAAAAAAGAGAGAGATGTCTAAAGTGATGTTACTGTAATGTTTACTAAGAAGTTACATTGGTGGGCTGAATGTGCAGCACCTATAGAGAAGCGTAACAACTGTTAAGGTTTTTATTGGTTTGAAAAGATAAGTAAATGAATTTTAAGTTGATTATTAATAATGGGAATCTCTTAATATAAGAAAGAGACATAGAAAGCAAATCAGAAATCCACAGATATTCCAAGAAATTCCTTTTAATGATTAATTTCACTCCATTATGATTCATCAATGATTTTTACCCTTCCTTAAATAGTATGTGGTCAAAATAAATCAAGCAGTTTCTTCATGCCTGGCACTTTTAGGTGCTATCAGGGATTGAAAAGTATGAAGAGAGAAATTGTCTTTGAACTCATAGAGTGCTTACAATCTAGTTAATCAATCTAAACCAAATATAACAAGGAAAAACTTAGGTGGCACAGCAAAATATACTTGAAGTTCAGACAGTATGTCAATGGAGGGAGTAGATGACTCTGTGAGATTTCTTAGAGGATAGTGGGACACTAGAGAGAGCACATCAGGCAGGGAGCCTAGTAGATAGTATAAGGAAAAACCCAGGGTTAGAAATGGGTATGAGGTGTTTAGGGAACATTGAGGTAAAACTGCCTTGCTTTAGGAAATCTGGTGTTGCTAGAAAGCAATTAGGTTTTTTTTTGTTTGTTTTGTTTTGGTGAGACTGGGGTTTGAACTCAGGGATTTGCACTTGCAAAGCAGACACTCTATCACTTGAACCATACTTCCAGTCCTAGAAAGCAATTAGAAGTAGGATTTAAGCCCGGCACCCAGTAGCTCATGCCTATAATCCTAGCTATTCAGGAGGCAGGGATAGGAGGATCAAGGCTTGAAGCCAGTTCAGGCAAATAGTTTGTGAGACCCTATCTCAGAAAACCCATCACAATAAAGGGCTGGTGGAGTGACTCAAGCCAGGGCCCTGGATTTTTTTTTTTGGGGGGGGGTGGGACTGGAATTTGAACTCAGGGCTTCATGCTTGCAAAGCAGGCACTGTACTGCTTGAACCATACCTCCAGTTCATTTATTGGTTATTTTGGAAATGAGATCTTCAGAACTGTTTGCCCATCTCAGCTTCCCACGTAACTAGGATTATAGGTAAGAGCCACTGGTGTCCTGCTATAGATTAAATTTTGATGAGCCTTACAGACATTTCAGGAACCTGAATAAGAGTACTGTGTACCCTACTTTTCCATCTTGAAGGAATACAAAAAGGACTAAGCCACACTGTAATGGTCTTTCCCTGGAAGGGTTCATAGGTAAAGGTCATTGTTCTCAGAACCCACATTAACCAAACATAGTGGCATGAATGATGATTGAAAGAACAAAAATAAGAATTAGGGAACAGCAGAGACTGTGCACTACTCTATCCACATGCAATGGTGAGGGGTTTAAACAAGAGTGCAAGTATCAAAAAAGGAGAGAAACAGGACTTGGCCGTAAAGGACAAAAGGAAAAAAGTCAAGAAAGAGTAAAAAGTTTAAGCTTCTTATCTTAGGAAATAGGAGAATGGTGTGTAAACCATTTTAAGGGAAATGCCTAAACTCTACTACTCTACTTAATCCATCCATTAATTCACTTAACATATGTGTTGATTATCTACTATTTATTTAACAAGAGCTGTTTTTTTTTTTTTTCAGGCACTGGGGTTTGAACTCAGGGTGTCACGCTTGCTAGGCAGGTGCTCTTACACTTGAGCCACTCCACCTGTTAAATTTATATAAGCAAGAGCTTTTTTTGTTTTGTTTTGTTTTCCTGCCAACTATTTATTTAGGATACAGGGCTAAGCAAATAAAGACATGTCTAATCTCAAAGGAGTTTATGGCCTACATGGTAGAAAAGCATTATTCAAATCATCACACAAACATAAAAATGCAACTAAGACATAGACTTAGAGGAATTAGGTAGTGGTATGAGAGCCTAATTAGAATCTTACCTTACTGGGGAGGAAAATTTCTGAGGAAGTGAAAGCATGAGCTGATTTCTAAAAGGTGAATAGGAACAAAAGAGGGGTGGGGAACATTCCAGACAAGAAGAAGTAGTGGTATTTTCAGTGTTGAGCTGGAGATGATATTGTAGAAATACTGTCAGATGAGAAACCAAGACACTCAGAGAAATGGAGAACTCAAATTTAACATCGGAGGTCCCAGATGAGCTCACACTCAAAATTCTGGGCCCCCAACAATGAATTCTTAAAGGGCAGTACAGGACTTCAGGTTACAAGGAATGTGTTAGTTGTTAATAGGTGAGCCAGTGCTGGGTTAGAGACCCAGGGTTGTTTAAATAGGAGCAGCAAGGGAGGTCTGCTTTAGAAGATTTGTTTATAAGAGGAGACAAAGGAAGGCAGGAATGGGCAGTTATCTCTACATGGGGCCTTTCTGTCTTGGCCCTGGACTCATTTTATGGCTTAACTAGCAATTTCTCTTGTCCTACAGCCTGCTTGAGACAATCTTCCTGTTCAATGATAGCAATGTATTGAAGTAAAAAATAGTGTTAACACATTTGTAAATAGTGATGGGTTCAGGGAGAGAGATGTGAGCATATTTAGTGAAATTTGGAAGTTGAGTCTAGGAGAGTAGATGAAGGTAGAAGACTAGAGAGCTGAGGCAAGAACCTTGATGAAATTTAAAATAAACCAACCTGGAAATAAAAAAGAACCATAACAACAAATAACTACAACTAGAGAACTAGAGAACAAAGAATATAATACAAAGATAGATTTGAAAGAATTGCAGATTAAGTGAAATGTGAAGAACTTTGAAATGGTTTGTCTTCCAGAGTTGTTTTTTTTTTTTAATTCTCTTTTTGTTGTTGTTTTGCTGTTCTGAGTTCTATTGAACCCCAGGCCTTACACATGCTAGATAAGTGCTTTCTCACTGAGGTATATATATATATCCACCCCCCCACCCTTCCAGTGAGGCAGAAGTAGACTTTAGACTGCAGGTTCCAAATGTCTCATTTCAAGTTGACTTTTCTATACCCAAAGAAATATAGCCAGAGTTCTGGGCCTATATTTTTGTTTTCAACAATGGAGAAACAAAGGAATTTGAATGTGATCATTCACACCAAAGCAATGAAATTAAACCTGACTCACTGTGGAACCATGTTTAAGCCTGTTGAAATCTGTGCCACAATTGGAGAAAGGAAAAATAAGATATGAATAGATGGAGAAATGTTGAAATATTTCCATGATGAGGTTAAATGAGAAAGCTCAAACCAGAAGGGTGAGGAGTTACATGAGAGAAGGACAAGTAGATTGTGTATATATTGTATATAATTGTGACTCCAATGTAGTTTTCTTTGTGATTGGTCTAAGAGGGGCATAACCAATAAATAGCTAAAATAAATGATTTAGCAGACACTTAGGCACTGTTAGTGTCAAAGTACTTTTTTTTTTCATGCGTCACTATTAGGCTATTTAACATAGTCAGACTTTGAATAGGTTTATTCTGCTTTCATAGGCACCTATTGAGCACAGCTTTTAGGAGTGTGGTTATATGCCTTTATTTGTTGGGAAATCAACCTGTGATACTTTATCTGTTAAGCTCACTTGAAATTAGAATATTGAATTAGTAATATGTTTATTTCTTGTTCTTAAACCCAGAATTTCTAAAGTACACTGGGCCTATCTCCACTGGGTAACCTTTCTGTATTCTGAAGTTATTTTTTTGGGAAGGGTGCTTTTCTGGATGTTTTGGTTATTACTCTTTCAACCTTGGTCCTTCATTATTAAATACTATTCTGTGAGTACTTTCATTATGGTCAGCTCCATAAATATTTCTTGAGTTCAACATGTCTCAAGTTTAAACACTTTATTAACTTGCTAATCTAGTATATCTGTGTGTGTAAAAGCTCACTTTGAAAATAAGAAGGCCATGCAACCACAGCATTCCTGTTAACACTTTTAAGGGGTGTAGTTGAAATATGAAGGCATGAGGAGACACTGCTTCATTATCTTCATTGACTTTTACCCACCACAGGAATTACAGCCAGAGTTCTAGACTTCCAGTTCCAGACTATATTGTTTCTGACAGTGGAGAAACAAAGAAATTTGGGTATAAGTTCTCTCCTGCCAGGTCATCGATGAGATCCTGATAACAGAGGTTCTTGTGGGCATCTGACATGTACTAGAGTTGAAAATATGAATATGTTGTTCTGAACTGACCTCCACATACAGTTTTTAACAGCAGTATTATTTTGTCATTATTGCAGGGATGAAAGTACGCTTCAAAATCAAACCTTCATCACCCAGCAAGTTCCCGTATCAGACTCTGGTGAAATGGTGCTACCTAGTATTCCACAAGGACAAGACTCTGACATAGTAAGGAGTCTGTAATCTAATCAAACAGTAGGCACAACTGTAATCCTTTATGCATCTTGGCTAATACAAAGGTCTTTTCTCTACTAGCCAGTGAGGAGCTCTCAGGGATCAATGGAATGTCCACACTAAAGGCATGTTACTCATAATGCAAATGGGCATCTGAGCCTCTTTTAGTGTTGAAAACCTTTTGAAATAACAGCTAGCCAGAATGTGTACTAGATGAACCTAGGGCCTCATACATGCTGTATAAACCTAAGCTAACCCCAGCCCTCTTATCTTCTGCATAAACATAAACATAGTGACCTTTTAACTCTTGGCTTTGGATGTAGGTGGGGACTATAAGTCCCTATAGGGTAGAGGACAAAGGAAGTAAGGAAAGTATGTAAGAAAACATGGTACTTTTTTTTTTTTTTTTTTTTTAAAGCCAGATCTTTTCTCTTTAAGGGCATTTTATTTGTAATTTATTATTCATGATCAGTAAGCACAATGTAGAATCTGAGAAAGTTCAGATGAGACCATATCGAGTCATTAAAGAGAATAAACTGAATTTTTTTTTGGCTGCTACCTGCATGAGTATAACTGTAGTTTTTTATTTTTTAATCTAAGAAACAAGAAAATCTGAGCAGCAAGTAGCTGGCTAAGTGAGTTCATGCCAATTAGAGTAACACAATTCTGATCAGTCATTTTTTAAAAAATGACTCACATGTAAGGAAAATTTTAGGACTCTTTGTGATATTTAATTCTACTTGGAATTCAGACAATAATAACCTTTTATGCACAGCCTAAAGTTGTTGGATTGGATTAAATACCTAAATAACAACTGTAGTTTTTTTAAGATAAAACAAGGGGCATTGTATTCTCAAACTATAAATTTCTACTGCCTCACCTTTAGGAAGACCCAAAAAAAAGACAAGACAAAACTCCCAGTAGTGTTGTTGTAAGTATATTTTTTGTTAAAGTTTTAGCCACCCCTAAGTGATGAAAGGTTCTGACATTTTATTTAGCAGGTAGTAGTAATAAGCTTAAAGTCCAGTCCATTAAGTATACATTTTCAAGATTTTTTACCACCCTTCACTCACTGAATAATCCCATAGAGTAAGGTAGCACTATCCAAGTGACTAATGAGGAAGCAGAAAATAAATGACTGTTGTCATTTGGCTAAGCAACAGAGATTACAGTATGACAGTCCGCAGCCTTCTCCTAGTTCAGAAAGCTGGGATTCAGATGGGATGGTGCAACAAAAAGACAAAAATCCATTCTGTTCAGCACATCAGTTTCTTTTCTGACTTAAAGTTCACGTTTATCAAAAAAAAAAAAAAAAAAAGAAAAAACCCAACAAAGTTAAAAGGCAGTTTGATGGCAGAAGACCATCAAAGCTTCTTTACTATTTCATGTAATGGAAAGCTTTGAAATTTCTTAGGCTCCAGTCAGTTACTCTCCATGAAGAACTCTTTCATTAACAAGTATTACTAATGAGAAATGGCAGGCAAAAAGAAAGAATCTATAAAATTTGACAAATTACAGATGGTTAGACTTGCTTAAGGCAAGAATCCTTATCCACTTTCATGGTTGGAACACTCCTTGATTTCTGGATTTAAGATAATTTTTGAAATAACTTTCTAAGAAAAGTGTTTGCATCTGACTTAATGGTTAAAGCACTGATTGATGACTGTTGAAGCAAACCTTGAAACTTAACATTTGGCACATATGACAAAAAGCTGATTTATCCATTGCATACTGAGGTATCCTTGAGAAGTACTGTAAAAGCAGGAACAAGTACATTGATAAAAATAAACAGTGGTCATGAATCACAAGGACAACAAAGTGACATTCAGTTGTAAAGAAGCAATGGTGGGATAAATAGAAATGGATTCCTCCTGTATGGTGTGGGATGAGTGAAAAGCTCTGGAAAACTTGGCAGAGGGTTCTTGCCCACTGGCATTGATGGAAGGCTACGTTTGAAGCTCAGCCAGAGGGTGATCTGTTTTTACAGTATTTCTGATACAAGGGTTCTTCCAGTTACTGGAAGATCTTCTGTATATACATTGACATCCCTTTCCTTCAAGTCATCAGAAAAGGGGAGAATTTTTAGAAAACAGGACTAAGCTCTTGTTCCAGATAAACATTCAGTTAAAACTGTTACCTCAAAAACAAGTATGAAGAGCAAGTGAAAAATCTGGTGTCACTGTTATAGTAGGAGTCTCCCTGCTGCAACTTTGAAGGGCAGAGAGTCCTGAGAAAGATTTTAGCTACAACATATCCAATCCCAGGGATCTGGTGTGAGCAAAGTAGGCAAGTGAAGTTAGTCAAGAGTAGAGGGAGATTACTCAGGATTGACTTGAGTCTTGAAGAAACTTGTTTCTAACGGCCCATGGTAGGCATGACCACAGCAGGTGAGGAAAGAGTAGCATCCTCTTCTTTCCACTGAGATGTGATGGTCTTTAGCTGAGTGTAGAATTGGATGCCCTAAAGAGCAAAATGAAAAGAGAGTTAGCATGTATTGCTGGGAGGTTCACCACTCTTTCAATTAGCTTTTGAAGGCAGTGGTGTACTACTCATGTTTGTATTTGAGCAGTAGGCACAACCAAAATCCAATATGGTATTCATGAGATAGTCTTATATAACATTTAACATATACCTGACACACAGTAAATAGTCAAACCTTAGCCATCATTAGAATTTCTGAATGCTGAAATTAGAATTTCTAAGCCAAGAGCATCTAAATGGAAAAAGTAAACAATGTAATCTGTTAAACTTTCAGGTCATTGTATTCTGTACCCTGGAGCTAACAGATTTAGCTCAAATCCTCCTTCTACCCTTATTGATTGAAGTTTATTGTGTGACAGAACACTGACCTCTTAGCAGTGTTGTGAGGAGAAAGTGAAATGACATATGAAAATACCCTGATAAAGTAACTGCTGTTCAACAATTATTAGTTTTTCTCTCCTTCCCGTGAAAAAAAAAGGCATGAAATATGTATTAGGCCATTTCTGATAGTAAGTGATAATGAGCTCTGTATTGAAGTGGTAAACCCCAAATATTTTACAAATCTTAAGTAAAATGCCTGGCATTATGCAAATTCACTTCTAAATTGTCTATACTGCATGAGCCAAAAAATTCACATTTACACCTTTATAAATACATGTAATATAGAGGCCCTGGATTCACTCCTTAGCACTGGCACTACAAACACACACACACACACACATACCCCTGGTGTGGTGGTACATGCCTGTAATCACAGCACCCAGGAGGTGTAGGATCATGAGTTTCACATGGGCTACACAGCAAGATCCTGTAAAAAGGAGTGATGCAAGTATGATAATGATAATGCCTGCCTAGCAGTTGTGAGGCCCTGAGTTCAAACTCCAGTACTCCCAAAGAGAAAAAAAGATACAACTTGTATCTTGAGGGGGGGTGGTTTAAGACAGGATCTCACTCTGTTGCCTATTCTGATCTCCTGGGCTCAAGTGATCCTCCTACCTCAGCCTCCCAGACAGTTGGTTCTATAGGCATAGCACCACACTTGGCTTTAACTTTTACAATTTTATTATGTAAGAATGATACTTGTGGACTGGAGCGATGGCTGAAGCTGTAGAGCACTTACCTGAATTCAAATCCTAGTACTTCCAAAAAAAAAAAAACAAACAGAAAAGATACTTCCATATCTTTTTTCTAGAATGCAAAGTAGCAATTTAATAACATAAGGATTTTAAGACTTCAAACTGTATTAGCTGAATCCTTTTCTTCCAAGAAGGCTCACTTACCAGGGTAATTTATAGTGATTAAACAAAGATGGGGGTGGATGGGAAGAGAGTAACTGTTTTAAACAATAGTTTTGCTGTTTCTCTTAAAATGCTTGTTACTGGTATCAAACTGCAGATGATCCACAATTTCCTGTTTTTCCTTTCTTTGAGATATATATGTAGCCTCATATGTTTTCATGTCCCTCCTCACTCACTCTATGCTGCAGCCCATTTCTATTTAACATGCCCTGCTTCTTCCTGTCTTAGGACACATGCATCTGCTGCTAGATGTGGTGATAGTGATACCTCAACCTTAAAAACTTTATGAAATGTATTCTGCTTTTACAGATGAAGAAATGGGGCATAAAAGAGGGTGTTCCTTATTATATTGCCTAGAATAGTGGTTTTTGTATGAAGGTGCTCAATTTAAAAAAAATTTTTTTTGTGGTGTTAAGGATTTTTAACCCAGGGCTTTGTGCATAGTAGACAAACACTCTACCATTAAGCTACAACCTTAGACCGTAATAAAATTTTGTGTCAACAACTACCAAAGGAGAAATATTTGCAGTGGGAATACATGGAGCATACCACCGAGCAAACGAGGAAGAGTGGTGGTGGTCAGAAGTGATTTTTCTGGAGGGAACATGACAGATGATGAGGAGTTACTCAGGTGGAAGGGAAAAGACAAGAGAGAGGGTCATAATCAGAGGAAATGACATATGCAAAGTCTTGGGCTTCCTCATGCTCTTCCCCCCAAACTTTATTGCTTTGAGTTATTCAGAAAGAGACCGCTTGGCAAGATTTTGCTAATTTTTAAATCTTTTCTAGGGGACTTTCTGATAATGCTGTATGACAACATATGACCCCATAGAAGCTGACAGCAGGCCCTTCTTTGCAGAATCCTTGCTTCTGAGTATGTTCAAGAAAGTTTCTCAAAGGAAAAAAAAAAAATTTAACACAAAAGTTACCTGTTTGCCATAGAAATTGGTGTCTCCCCTGAAGGAAGATCGAGAGCCAGTGAATGAGAACATTGGCAAAGGCACTGGAATAGGGACATTTACTCCCACCTAAAGCAGAACAGATCACATCAAATACTAAGCAAAGGACTCAAACTACAAATTGTCCATTTTGAATCACAAAGACAGCAGAGGCCAATATTCTTTTTTCTTTGTTTTTTTTAAATCTGTTTTGCTTGTTTGGGAAGACCAATTTACTAGCTACCTTGCACTGTGTCCTCCACCCCATGTACTTTGTTCCTGAGAAAGAAATGCAGCATTGTGGGAGATTAAAGGGGCAAGCTTTAAACAAACTGCAGTGGCTCATCACTGTTTACTGTCTGTCTGGTCTTAGGAAACAGCTATAAGAATCTCTAAAAGTTCTATTCACAAACCTGTCCCACATCTACTAGGTGGGAATATTTCCGAGCAGTGGCTCCATTGGTGGTGAAGATGGCAGTTCCATTTCCATATGGGTTGTCATTTACAATCTTGATGGCTTCATCCAGTGTTTCTGTCTCCAGAACTACAAGAACTGGACCAAAAATCTCCTCTTTGTAACAGGTCATATTTGGCTGCCAGGAGTGATGTGTCCAGAAAAAAAGTCAGCTTTTTGAGTTGAGCATGCTTATTTGGTACTTTTACTTACTACCCATTGTTTACATCAACAGCTTTCATGTTAGCAATCTCTTTTCATCTTAGATCATCCTTGAAAAAAAAGTCCTCTCTCACTGTTCTATCTTCTGTGCTAACACCATAAAAACAACTTGAAATTCTTACTATAACTATACTCCTTTCCTTTAAGGACTGTATTTTAAATTTCCATGGCCCATCTATCTACTTGCTTTCTTTTTAATACCTGAACAATTTTTTCATACAATTGTTATGTTACCAAAAAGTTACATGAAAATTTGGCTTTTTATAAATCAATTACCAAGTATACTATGAGAATTTTTCTGTAACATAAAACAGTTTCCCTCCCAAATAAGTCTGTAAGTTTATATTTTGATATTGGATCACATTTAAGCATTCAAAACATCCTTCACCACTGTACTTAGTCAGCTGTATTTATTGCTGATAAGTGGATTTTTTCTCTTTTCTGTGGCAAGAGTTTCAAAACTTCTACCACACTTGATTATTCAGGATTATAGTGAAGATACATGAATTACAAAAAAAATCCTCCTAACTCCAATTTAGTCTTAAATATTAGCTGAGAGACTTTCAGAGTTATAATAAACAAAAACAGATTGCCTCTTTTTGTTGTTGTTCCTTTCTGGTGAATATGCAGCTAAATTTTGGGCACAGGGTAGGTATGCAGTAAATACTGGGTAGTTGATAATGAGACACTGCAGTAGCTATGAGCAAGGTAGCAAGAGGGAAAGAGAAAATTACATTAAACAATCATTATAGTAAAGAAGGGCTGACAAACTAGTCGGGGCTAAATGTGGCTGCCTGTTTTCATACAGCCCACAAGCTAAGAATGGTTTCTGCATTTTTAAAGGTTGGGAAAGAAAAAACATTTTGTGACATCTAAAATTCAATGAAATTCAAATGTGTGTCCATAATACAGTGTTACTGGAACATAGCCACACTACATTCCAGAGTTGAGTAGTGTGACACAGATTATATCTCTGCAAAGCTGAAAATACCTAGCCTTTCATGGAAAAATTGCTGTATAAATGGAACGAGCTCTGCTTGGGAATCAGTAGAGGAGACTCACTCAGATTCCAGGTACTGAGCAATCCTGGCAAGAGCTGAGGTCTTAATCATTAAATGTGTTCATTTATAAATTAAGAGGGATTCCCTAGGGTGACTTCAGCCCTCATATTTGTGAAATAATTGAGTTGTTTTACCTTGACATTTGAGATGATGGTTGGTCCAACAAAATTACCATTTTCATAGCCTTTGACTTTAATTTTTCGCCCATCTAGAATGATGGAAGCTCCCTCTTTTGTACCACTATCAATTAGGTTACAGACTCGCTCTTTGGCTTGTGGGGTTATCAGAGGGCCAAGATCAGCGCCAGGCTGGTCTCCTATAAAACAACATACAAGTTTCTAGGGTGTTTATGAGCATAAATTATAACGGCTAATAAGATGAATCAGAATGAAAAGTATAGTTAAACAGAGGCAACAGTAAGAATATACCTGATTGCTCCCACTGGCCAAGGCCAATGCTAAACTCAAGAGCTTAGAGCCACAGATACAAAAATCTAAAGTTGCTAGGCAGATGATAGATTACCTGCATTGACCCTCAGTTTTTTGGCTCGGTCCACTAGCTCTGGCAACCACTTCTTGGCTTCTCCCACGAGGATTGCTGTTGAAAGAGCCATGCAGCGCTGACCAGCAGCTCCAAATGCTGCCCCGACTAGCTGGTTCAGAGTATTTTCCTTATTGGCATCTGGCATGACTACCCCATGGTTTTTAGCTCCCTAAAGATACACAGAAAGTGTATGGGCTTTCTTTAGCCAAATACAATTAAGCTAAGAAATGAAGCAAAGAACCTGAGATTTCAAATGAGAATTTAAGGAAAGGAGTAGAGAATTCATCCTTTGTTGTTTTGAGGACAAAAATTATTTTTAACTCTGCTGGAGTCTGGGCAGCATTGAACAGGTCTTCATTTTTTACTTGGTAAGCTGATAATGGTTAGGTCAAAACTATTAACAAGGAGGACCAGTCATATTCAAACCCACAGGTTAAGCACTACGTCCAGGAACCAAGGAAAACTCCCTTCTTTTTCCTAAGTTAGACCAAAAGAATTTGTTGTCTGCTGGGGTTTCCATTTAAATTAAGAGCAATATATACAAAGGGCTGCCAGTAATGAGGCCAATAACCACATGATAGAAAATAGGAGGCAAATATCCTGATACATAACTTGTAGAAAGAAGTTCCCCAAATTGGTTTGCTTCTAGAAATATAACTATATACACCTTTTCAGTGTGGGATGACATGATCATTTCCACAGTTATGTTTCCAGATTTGACTATAGTTGACTGCATTAACAGATTCCATGTTTCTATTTAATCTTACTATGAACTATGTTGAACACTGAATACACTCAGTATGTAGTGAACTCAGAGGGGCTTAAATCAAATTCAACAAGACACATTCAGCCATGAAAAGCTGGCAAACCATGAAGAGTTTCTAAGCCTGTGCATATGTTTTCTGTAACAGCTAAAGGAAGATGGGTGAGAAAGATGCAGTAGTATCAGAGTTGCTAAGCATTTTGAAAGGAACTAGTAAGAGAACAGCAAAAGTAAATCACATAGATCATATGTAATATTTGGCTCTTCACAGTTCTTTTAAAACTGATTTAAAAAAAGTTCTTTTGGTGGTATTGGAGGTTGAACTCAAGACTTCATGGTTACTAGGCAGGCTTGCTAGATTCTACCACTTGAGCCACACCTCCAACCCTTACACTGGTGTCTTAAGGATGACCTCATCATTTTATATTAGTAGTTAGGGTACACCTTAAAAAGAGGAAGGATTGGCTGAGCGCTGGTGGCTCATGCATGTATGTAAGCCTCGCTACTCAGGAGGCAGCAATCAGAAGGATCACAATTTGAAGCCAGCCCAGGCAAATAGTTTGTCAGACCCTATCTCGAAAAATCCAACACAAAAAAGGGCTGGTGGAGTGGCTCAAGTGGTAAGAGTGACTGCCTAGCAAGCGTAAAGCCCTGAGTTCAAAACCTAGTACCACCACCAAAACAAAAGAATTAAGAGCTAGAGGCATGGTATAAAGGAAGAAATAGGGCCAGAACCAAAATTTGGCTGTTAATAGCTGAAAGTTATCCAACGAATTTGAATAACTTTGTTAAGGAGGAATGTGTCACCAAGATGAGTTGTATATGATAAAATGTGATCAACATGATAGAATAAAACTCATGAGCTTCAGGGCTAAGCAACGGCATTCAGGATGAAATTGTAATTAAAGAAACACTAGTCTCAGTAAGATGAGTGGCCCATCAACTGAAGGGCTGTTCCTAGATAATTTAAATATACACTACAAACTGGGTGGGAAAAAGGAATAAGAAATCACCATATTTGCTTGAACCCTCTTGCCATGTCTTGACCCTCTCTCGAAGATGTACTCTCCTGCCTGGTTGGATCCCACAAAGCTGATTGCCTTGATGTCCGGATGATCACAAATGAAATTTACAGCTTTAAGAAGAGAATAAATGATCACCACAAAGAACAACTGACCACAGCCTTCTCAACATGGCAAATCTCCCTGTTCTCAAATGCTAAGAATTAGAATTTTCATATATCTCTTTTCTTAAATGAATTCCCATTGTGAAGTTCTCATTTATTTCTCTTAAATTCTTTAAATCACAAATTCTACTTTGCCTCTTTAATTCCAGAATTTTCATTTCTAGTTTAACACTAAATGCTGTAATTCTATCTTTTTCCCTCTAAAATAATAATCTTTCAAAACTTAGCCCTTCTATTTTGTCCATTAAGAATATGATAGGTCCTTCACCATCACTAGATACTGAGACTCTCAGATACTCCTGTATCCTCATATGAGAGTTGATGTGGCATACTATTTAAAAGCAAGAACCAGGGTCAGCCTCTCAGGAAAAATACATATATCTGCTGATTTTCATATTTTCTAGTAGTATGTCTTAGGGAAAAGTTACTTAATCTCACTGCCACTATTTTCTCACCTGTAAGACAGAAAAATAGTACCTGCCTCAAAAGGGTTATAAAGATTAATTGAGATAATAAACTTTCTCTTTAATTTTATTTCTGCCTGGTTCTAACCCATAGTTCTGGCATCCTACTGTATGGTGTAGGGCAACAAACGCTGCTTCTGCCCACTGCTACTGATGGCAAAAATCAGCAAACATTACCTTCAAACATGGAATACTATTAGGAAATCCCTTCCCTAAACTGCATAGTCACCGTTCAACATCTTGACTTTTGGGGAGCCAGATTAAGTAGCCATCTGCAGAAGGGAAATTACCTTCATGTTGTCCATGGATGATGTTCAGTGTTCCATCAGGGGCACCAGAGTCCTGAAGTAACTTAGCAAGAAGCATAGTTGCTCCAGGGACTCGCTCTGAGGGCTTCATTAGGAAAGTATTTCCACAAACCATGGCCATGGGAAACATCCAAAGAGGGATCATGGCAGGAAAATTAAATGGAGCAATGCCTGCACACACCCCCAGAGGCAGACGGTAGGAATAAAGGTCCATGTCTTTAGTGATGGAAGGCATGGTCTCTCCCATCATGAGAGATGTCACACTACAGGCATGCTCAACCACCTCTGGAACAAAGAAGAAGAAGTCAGGCCACCAGCTCTCCACACAGCACTACTTAGCTTCATCATGCTCTGTTCAGTCTTGAGAGCAGCAAGTAGCTCAGGCCAATGATAGAAGGCCATGAGAAGAAGTTATACAAAATGAGATTCTCTGAATAGGAAAAAAGACAGTGAAATGCATATATGTACTAGAAGATCATTTGAATAAAGTAAACAGTGAAATAAATCAGTCTTACAGATACCTGGTGACCATTGCCATTTTTTACAAGTATTAAAAGTGGTATTTCTGGGCATCATGGTACATACTTATAAATTCCAGCATTTGTGAGTTCAAGGCCAGCCTGGGCTGCATAGTAAATTCCAGGCCAGCCTGAAATATATAGTGAGACCCTGTCTCAAATGAAGAGAGGAAAAAAAAGATATGGGATAGCAAATCTACATAATAAAACAAGCAAACTCTCCATTCTGGGACCTTTGCCTCCCATCTTCCCTTATTTTTTTCCCAAAAGTTCCATGAGGGGCTCCCAGCTTACGAAGGCCTCGAAATACATCTCCTTCAGCATCAGCTAGGGTCTTCCCTTGTTCCAATGTAATTAACCTGGCAATTTCTTTCTAGAGAGAAAATACACAAATATAAATTAATGCAAGGATGTTCCTCTTTTTATTTATTTTTGGGGCACTGGGGATTGATCCATGGTCGTGCATGCTAAGCATACATCCTACCAGTGAATCCTACCCTCCATCCCCTATGTCTCTTCTTTTAATTCTCAAGTAGCCACCTAGTTTCTCCTTTTAATTCTCAAGTAGGCACTGAGGAACTAAACTGAAGAAGAACCAGAGAGAGCCATGAACTCCATATTGTAGAGTTAGGGAGAAGAGTTGAAAAGGTCTCTGGGAAAGTGACAAGCACACCCTAGACAATAGGGTAGAAAATTATACTATTCGGATTTCTTACCAAGTTTTCTTTAATAAGTTGTTGGTAGCGGAGAAGGACCTGCTGACGGCTTAATATGGATGTGTCTGCCCAGGTAGGAAAAGCACGTTTGCAGGCAGCAACAGCTGCATCCATTTCAGCCTTGGTGGACTGAGGGACTCGACCAATGACCTCATTCGTGGCCTGATGGGAAAAAAAAGCCATCACACTTGGCCAGTGCCCCACTTTTCTCCATGTTTCACCTAACCTCAGTGGCAAGATTGTGCACTTCACAATAGAGACCCAGGTCCCCATCTTCCCACCTTGTTCCCAGAATTCTGGGGTAGTCATTTTAAGTCCCAAAGCAAGTTTTACTTACTGGATTATGGATGTCAATCCATTTGTCACTTTTGGATTCAACAAATTTCCCATCAATGAAGAGCTTTACAGTTGGCTGAAAAAAAATGAAACTTTGCATTAATTGCTTCTTCTTTCCCTTCCCAGAAAGGAAGGAATTCCAGTTTGATAACTGAAGCTTCTGATCTCTACAAATGCAACCACTAAAAAAGATACACAATGTACTTGTCTGAAGTAAATATAAGATGTGCCTTCTAATACTATGATTTCTGTAAGAATGGGAAATTCCTTGGTATTCATCCAGTGAACTTCATGCATGAACACATGTCACTGTGAAGTTTATACTAAAAAAGCAGCCACTCTGAGGCCAGGCACCAGTGGTTCAAACGTGTAATCCTAGATAGTTTGAAGGCTGAACCAAGATCAAGAGGATTATGGTTTGAGGTCAGCCCAGGCAAAGAGTTCACAAGACCCCACCTACAAAATAACCAGGGCAAAATGAACTAGAGATGTGGCCCAAGCAGTACAGTGCCTGCTTTGCAAGGTGAAGCCCTGAGTTCAAAACCCAGTTTTACCAAAAAAACAAAAAAAGCAGCCACTCTGTGTTAAAGACTAGCTATTATGACTCGTTGGCCTACTGAGTTTCTGTCACATTGCCACACACAACTTATCTTTACGATCAAAGTATTTTAGAAAATATTTCTATCTGTGTATTTTTTTCTGAGCGGAAGCTCGGTTTCACTGAATTTTCAGTGAAGTCTGTTTCTGTTGCTTTCTGTTGTTAGAATACCTGGCAGTGAGTAATTTATAAAGAAATAATTTCAGAGATCTGGAGACTAGAAGTCCAAGACCAGGAAACAACTTCTGGGGCAAGGGCCTTATGTATCCTAATGCAGCAGAAAAGCAGAAGGGCAAGTAGATGAGAAAGTTGTTAATCCCTCTGAACTGTCTGCCTGTTAGCCCCTAAAGGCATCACCTTTCAATATTGCCACAATGACATCAAATTTCAACATGAGGGACAAACCATAGCAGGGGCTGTGAACCAAAGGAAAAAAAAAAAAAAAGCAAAGGATTACTGTGTTACAGTACATGCATAGAAAGAATTTTGAGGAGTCCTTATTAGATTTTAGGTATTATAAATGACTGATAAGACATATGGCCTAGATGGATGCTGGTGGCTCGTGGCTGTAATCCTAGCTACTCAGGAGGCAGAGATCAGGAGAATCAAGTTTTGAAACCGCTGGAGCAAATAGTTTGCGAAACCCTATCTCAAAGACATATGGCCTATAACAATTCTAAAGGTTGATATTTGGCAGGTTCAACAAAACCTCTAAGAAGAATCTGGACATTATGGTCTCAGCAACTTGGGAGGCTTGAACCTAGAATTTCAAGACAAGCCTGGACAAGACAGTGAGACCCCATTTCCAAAATAAAAAAAGTCTAAACTTCTAGAAGCCATGGAAATATCTGTATCTTTTAACACAGCACATAAAATTCAGAGTGCAAATAATTCAAAAGAAGGAAAAAAACTGTACAAAAATGCTTGTTTTGTAATTTTAAAAAGCTAAAACAATCTAAATGTTATATGGAGAAATTCTCAGTTAATTCAGGCTACATATACTCTATAGAATATCATATAATCATTAAAAATCATAACTATAAAGACCACCTGGCAATACTGAAACTGCTTACAACATGTCAGGCATAATGTTAGATAAGAAAAGCAAGATAAGAAATTTCACATACACTCTGACCACAATTTAAAGACAAAATGAAATATCCTAAAAACTATCCTGGATTGTTTTGATTTTTTGGATTGACTAAAGAAGTCAATCTTTAGTGCCAAATACACTTACCATTGAAGATGAAGAGAAGGAGGATGCTGGATACCAGACAGGGTTTACTTTGAAAGCAACCTGTGAAGTAAAATAATGATTTGATAAATGAGAGTAGAAAAGTAACATTGAGCAAATGACTGCTACAATGTTCAACACTATAATAGTTACTGTATATATGTCAAAGGACTTGGTGTTTGCTCTCAAGAGCCATAGTCTTTTTAAAAAGACACGAAACTATGAGGTAACAATAAGTTGTAATGATCATGTCCTGGACAATACTGTCCTGGAGATAACTGGGACAACATGAAATCTAACAATATGAAAATATTTAGTATGGTGTCTAACACGATAGGTGTAGAAGACATACAAATCATAGACTATGAACAGTATATGGTCAATGTAAGTATAGATGAAATAGTACATAATCAAATATAAGTATAATATGCTTTTATAAATACCTGAATACAAATGTTCATAGCAGCTTTACTTACAGATGACTAAGGAAACTAATGTGCATACACTGGAATACCACTCAGCAATAAAAAAGAATGAAATAGCCAGGTGTGCTGGTGCATGCCCCAAATACCAGTACTCATGAGGCTGATACAAGAGGATCACAAGGTCAAGTACAGTCTGGTCTATAAAGAGTGACCCTGTCTCAAAAAAAAAAAAAAGGGTAGTTATAACTATGGCAAGTGAATCAGCCATAAAACAGTACAAACTGGATAATTTCATTTATAATATAAAACTAGAATATGTAAACTAGTCTGTGGTATCAGATCAGTAGTTAACCGGGGGTGATGAGGAAGGTGGCAAGGAGGGCTAAGAAATTAACTCTTTTGGGTGATGAATATATGTCATTATCTTGTGATAGTATTTTCACAGGTATACACAAATGTTAAATCTTATCAAGCTGTATACCTTAAATATGTACAGATTATTTACATTGGTTTTTATCTCAATAAAAATTTTTTAAATGTCATAAGTACCTTATAGAAAATAATGTGTTGTATAGGTATATCTGATAGAGTGGGTTAGTTAAGATAATGCAACTCTCAAACTGTATCTCCAAAGACAAGTTGGTTTAAGTCTAACCAAAGTTAACAAACTGAAACTCAGATTAGGTAGGAAAGAAAGCTGGAATTTAAAAATCTATTATCATACCTGAAGAGAGACAAATGTTAACCAAAAGATTTAGGGCTACATGAAGTGTTAAGAACTTGTGCATCTGCCTGTAGTACTCTCTAGTGTAAAAGTGCTGGTCCTTTGGGTGGGCAGACAATCCTTCCAAATGCCTGCTCTGCTTCCTCTCCCATTCCTCCAAAAGCTAGTCATTCAAACATTTTCCTGGAGCCCACCTTGTCATGTTTATAGTTGTGTTCCCAGTACCAACATAGTACCTGACACACAGCAGGAGCTCAATAGATAACGCTGGAAAAGGGAAGGCCCACTGTTGTCCTGCTTCGCACCCCATCCTAGATCAGGAGTCCCTTTTTTGTAGTATGATAGCAGCTGACACTTTCCCATCGGGCTTATGTGTTATAATTGCCTGGGTACTTTTCTGTTACCCACAAAAATTGTAAGTTCCACAAGGGCAGGCACTGCATGTGTCTTTTTTCTTTTTTCTTCATTATTTTTTTTGATGGGACTGGGGGTGAACTCAGGGTTTCACACTTGCAAAGTAGGTGCTCTACTGCTTGAGCCATACCTCCAGCCATGCCTTTAGTTATTTTTCCAGATGGGGTCTCATGAACTATTTACCCCAGCTGGCCTGGAACAGTGATCCTCTCCATCTCAGTCTCTCAAGTAGCTAGGATTATGGGCTTGAGCCACGGGTGCCTGCCTGCATGTGTCTTATTCACCTGCCTTGTGGTTATTGTGATCAAGATTGTACAGGTATGGAAGGTGGCTAACATACAGTGCTCACTAAATGTTATTACATTATTATAAGTACTTATTATTTGCTTTCACTCTTTGCTATTTCAGAAACTTAACAATTCCCTTAAGATTTCCAGCTCTAGCGAGGCATGGTGGTATATGCCTGTAATCCCAGCACTTGGAAAGCAGAAGGATCTCGAATTCAAGGCCATCTTAGGCTACATTTAAAAAAAACAATACCAACTCTGCTACTTCTCTCACTTTTAGTAGCTGGCCTTTTTTCCTTCTTCAGAGAAAACAAAAACCATGAGTGGAAAACTTTCTCAGCTTCTACTAGCAAACCTACAAAAAACGACCTGCACCTGATAGAGGGGGCCAGCAAGCTCCGAGGGCAAAATAACTGCACAATTGGTGTTTGTGGTCTGCATGAAGAGGCATCTGTCCTTCAATCAAAGGCTAATCTCTGCACCTGTGCTCTGAAGTCAACTTTTCCTGCTGTCTCACACTTCAATCAACTGTCCTCCTTTCCCGTACCCTAAACCATCCAACTGCTTTGTTAGCATACATATTCTAAATCCTGCCTCTTCCTCAAACCCAAATCTTCTCTTTCTCTATCTCAGTGATACTGGGGTTTGAACTCAGGACTTTGAGCTTACTAGGCAGGCATTCTACCACTTGAGCCATGCCCCCAGCTCCCAAGTCCTCTTCTCTTAACCATTCTCTCTTTAGCAGCCAAACTTTTCAAAAGAGTTTCTTGGATTAATTGTCTTTATTTCCTCATCTCCCACTAACTCTTTAATCTACTCCAACCTCCATAATTAAACACCAGTGATTTGTTATATCTCATGGACTCTTCCCAGTCCTCCTTGGGCTTAATCTTTCAGCAGAGATGACATGGCTAAATTACCCTCCTTTCCTGAATCCCTTTTCACCTGTCTTCTGTGACACCCTAGTATCTCTTCTATTTATTTTGCCATTTTTCTCTCTTTTTCTGTCTCATCCTTCCTACCTGGGCATTAACTCTTTGGGTTTCCCAAGGCTAGATCCTAGGCCTTCTGTTTTTCTAATTCTGCATACTCTCCTTGGGCTTAATTAACTAGATCCCGTTGATGCTCAAATCTGCACTCTTTAGCCAGAGTCTTCCTCTTCAATTAATACCCACATACCTATCTTCACCACATCTCTACTTATGTACACTTTGAAAAAGCTGAGTTACCCACTGTCCTCCCACCAATCTCTGCTTCCAATAGTCCACATATGACGCAAATGGTACCACTGTTTACCTAGTGACCAGGAGAATCCTGAATGTTATCTGTCTTCTCCCTCACTCTCCTTAGTGAATCAGAGTTCTGCCAATGTCTTCCTAGAAGTCTTTGGAACACACCATCCCCTTCTCTGTAGCCCCTGTCATTATTCCAGTCTATCCTATCTTTGTCTCTCACCTGGACTTCAATAATGACTTCCTAACATAACAAGTCTCCTAGCCTCCAATCTTAAAACTTTCTGAATCTAGTTTCTATTCCATAACAGAGGGTCTTTCTAAAATACAACTGTGGTCAGATCACCCCCTTATTCAAAACCCTTTTATAGGCCTGGGATATAGTTCAGTGGTTGAGTATTTGCCTAGCATGTGCAAGGCCCTAGTTTCATCCCCAGCAACATAAAACAAAACAAACAAAAAAGTCCACTGGCAAGTTACTGAGTTTCTTTAGGAAGTATGGTTCAAGTGGTAAAATGCCTGCCCAGAAAACACAAGGCCCTTAGTTCAAACTCCTGAAGTGCCAACTGATTTTCTTATCAGAATGGGAATGATAACATCATGAGGAGCAGAGATTCTAGGTTAGTGCTTTACAAGCCTCTTAACAAAGAAGATAAGTTGAATACTTAAAATAACTGAAAACAGGAACTCAAGCCATTATAGATCTTTTGATAATCCTCCAATATTCATGGCTGCTAGACTCTGAGAAAGAAAAAGAGACAAAAGAGACTGGGACAGAGATAGAAACACATACACACACACACACACACACAGAGAGAGAGAGAGAGAGAGAGAGAGAGAGGAGAGAATACCTAGGTATGTTACACTGGTCTTGAACTCCTGGTCTCAAAAGCAATTTTCCTGAGTCAGCTTCCCCAGTAGCTGGGACTACAGGTACATGCCACCATGTTTACCTAGACTATATCAAAATTTCATGTTGCAGCAACTGCTAATTGGCTAAGAATTATTATTTGTTTTTTTCCAGGTCAGTTCAAAAGTTTATTCAAAGAAGTTAAAAAAAAAAGTATCTGTTTCCAAAATAAAGTACATGGGAAGAGAGAGTCTCTTCCTTGATGCAAAGAACCTAATACCTCCCCAAAATTCTTTACATTATGGGAGTAGAAGTGAAGGGGAAAAAAGCCAACATCAGTAAAATATTTCAAGAAATTAATATAAAATATAGGGTGAAAACTCTGTTTCCCTACTACTAAAAAAGATACAACAGAACTAGGATGGCAGCAGGAAATAAGAATGAAACCAGGTCAACCCCTCTCACCCTTCCAGTCCATTATCCACACTGTTGCATTAAATAGCATATGCAAACATGAGCCTTTGCGACTCTGCCAAGAATCTTCCAAGTGCATGCTTCTGCAGCAGAACTCACTGAAACCTGATAAAGACTGATATTACATAAAAATGCAACAATATAGAGGAAGTTCCCAGGATGGATGTAATGAGAAGGCAATGTTGTTTCTTGCAGATCTGAGAATCTTGCCTGAAGTAAATCTTGCCTCATTTTGCAAGTCCTTGCTAAACTATGAATTGGAAAAGGCTATGACATACTGAGCTGAGGATCACAGTCCTCAGGTAACCAGCTTCTGTAGCTCTGCCACCTCTCCTTAGGCAGCTTTTGAGAGTTGTGTTGAAGTGTGCTGGTACTTGGAGTTGACTGGAGGCAGGAACTTGGAACTTCTCGTGTTCTCGCTTTTTCTACCACCTGTTTTGGAGATGTTTAGTCCTTTGAGTGAACATGGAACGTTCGGGGAATCATAACGATGTGTCCTTATTTACCTCCAACAAGAGCACTGTTTAACTTCAATGAAAGTTTAACCGAAAGTCTTAGTGTGAAAGCCCAGACCATGCGGAAAATACAGAGCCATAACAGCTGGGGAAAACAGGTTAGCAAATGCCTGCCTTTGGTGAAAACCTAGTGTACACGTCTAGGAGATTCAAAGTTCATTCGCTGACTCTCGTTCCTCGCCCCTCGCGTACCCTCTCTCCCCTTACCTCGGATTATGAACGGAAAAGTTGGGGGAGGGGAAGGGAGCAACTGGACGCTCCTTACTGGGTTAAGTGGCCAGAAAGGGAAGTTTTAGGGTACAGAGAGGTGGCTGGTGCAGGGGTGAAAGGAAAAGACGGTGGGAGGGTAGAGAAAGTGTGGGCAAGCTAGTCATAGCAGGGACGCAGTCGGACTGGAGGAGAATGGGTCAGAGCCAGGAAAAAAAGAGGCTCAAGGAGTAAAAAAGGGATCCAGAACGAGGGAGAGTACGGAGTCAAGGGGGTGGGAACACGATCTGTCAAGAAGGAGCTGGGCCACAAACTCGGGTCCGACCAAGCATGGCTCAGCGAGTGGGCGGAAAGGATCCATGCCTAGCTTCGTGCTCCCTCGGCGCCACCCTCACTCGCCTGCAGGATTCGGGTCCGCACTGCCGCCGCCGCTACCACCGCCGCCATGGTTCTCCACTGCCTCTGTTCCGCTCCCCACACCTCCGCTGCCGGTGCCCCTTCTACAGCACCGATGCCAGGACTTGCCCTCTATCCTCCCGGACGTCCTTATTGGGGGAACGACCATTTCCTGTAGCCAATCACTCGCCCGAACGCCTGACTCCACCCCCTCAGTACCAGCACTGATTAGATACCTGATTGGTCGGAAGCAAAAGTGTTCTCGCCCTCTCCCACCTCAGCCAATTTTGTTGGAGGAGATAAGTAGACGCCTCTGACTTGGGTACTGTATGTTGAAAACACAGGGAAGACGCCCCCTAACCGGGAACCCTGATTGGCTACAGGAACGACCGAGGCCCCACCCCCTCTTCGAAGAACGTAAATAAGACCCTCCCGGAATTTTTGTAGTCGCACCTCCTAACAACTGCGCGACAAGCGTGACTGGCGTTGGGGGCGGGGCTATGCAAATATTTCCCTATGGGGAGGAGGAACGAGACTCAGCTGCGAGTTGGGGATAGGATGCCTCTTTGGGGGCGTGGCTTATGGAGCCTCACTTTCCCGCCGACGGTTGGCCACGTCACGTGACATGGGTTGGAAGATGGCGTCTCCCACAGACGGTAAGAGCCGGCTTTAGAGATCATTCCTGCAATCTCCTTCGTTGCTTCTCTACGGACTTGCACTCTCCATCTGCCTCTTGCACTTATACTTCTTTCTCGGGCTTCTCTCCTTTCCCTTCCACCTCTTCTCCTTGGGATGTGCCTCCATCTTCAGCTCACAGTTCTTCACAGCATTCACTGTGTTATCCGGCGGGTGGCGGAAGGTACCGGCAAGGGACCCATTGAGGCAAAAGGACGGAGTTCGCCCTTGCCCCATTTGGGTGCAGGTGAGGGTTGGATAGGGAGGGGATGCTGCTAGGGCAAAGGAGGTGCGTTACTGCAGCTTTCCACTGGTGGCTCATGGAGGTGTCGGCTCTGTTCTCATGGGCAGGACTGGAAGGATTCTCGCAAGCCCTACCTGGGGTTGGTGGCTGCCCTCAGGAGAACCGTGCTTCTCTCCTGTCTCTTAGTTTGGGACCGTTTCCCTAGCAATAAGAGTCCGAGGGAGATGAGAGTGGAGCTTTTTAGTGTAGCCTTGCACAGGACTCCACCTGTCTCGCGTCTGCTTTGTGTGGTGGTTCCCTAGGCTGAGTGAACGATCCATTTCTGCTTAGATGTTACCTAAGATGCAAGTCATCTCAGGTGGCAATTAAGTGACTTGGGTTACCCACATGCTTTAGTGAGTCTTGCGGTCATTTAGCGTTTGATTCTACCGCTCCCATCCGACGCCTATTTCATTGATAGGTAGTTTTCCCTTCTTTGTGTCCTCATTTTGTGTATTGAGGAAACTGAAGCCAAGGAAAGCTGTTTTGGGTTCCTGTATAAGAAAAGCTAATGCTGTGTGCGTGCTTTGGAGATGAGGGTAGCTCAAACATGTAAAATGCTTTTTCGGTTTAAGGTCCTATTTCAGATGTCGCCTCCCAGAAAACAGCATTTGGAGTTGACCTCTCCACCATTATTCAGTATCTCAGTGTCTTCATCATCAGCTTAGTTACTCTGTTAACTTTGCTCCTGTCACATCCAGTTATAAATTCCGAGTTTGTCTCGTTCATAGTTGGATTACCAGGGTTTAGCATCGTGTCTGGCAAGCAGTTTGCTTTTAATTAATATTTATTAAAAGAATTATTAGGTTATTTACAGAAATATTTGATTTGATTTGATTTTTTTAGACTCGGCCTCTATGTAGCTCAGGCCGGCCTTGATCTCACCCTTCCTGTGCTCCCTAGTGTTGGTATTATAGCAGTGCACCACTATACCTGGCCTGTTACTTGATTTTAAGTTTTAGGTTCAACTGAGTCTTACATTTTTGAGTACAGGTACATATTGTATAAGAAATTACAAATGCACAAGTCAAAAGAGACACTTTGCTGGATACTCTCTGGCTAAAGTGTTCTTTTCTTGCCAGGAGAAAAATGTCAGCCAGGTGATAGATGTAAAAGTAATTGTTGGTGAACTTTTTAGTTTATTTAGTTGTTATATTTGTAAGTTTTGCAGGTTTGGGAGCTGTGTTCCTTTTGTTTGACTTTTCCTTGTCTTCTCTCAATTTCTTTTCCGGTTTTTCCCCCCTTTGGTCATGTAGGCATCTCCATAGTCACTTTGCTTGTAGTCTTGGTTTTTAAAGTTTTCATTTTTCTCAATTACAGAGTTCACTCTTTCACATCCAATTTTTTCTTTTTTAAATCTGAAAACATCAAGTTGAGCACTCTGAACTTAAATTCAGGTATGGTGGTACACTCCTATAATCCTAACACTGGGGAGACTGTGGCCGGAGGATTGTGAGTTTGAGGCCAGCCTGAGGTACATAGTGAGACACTGTCTCAAAAATTTTGAAGTATCCTACTGCCTGACTCTCTCACTGCTATTTTCAGTGTTCCACCTGCTTCTGTCTTTCAAATTTAAATGATGTTGATTTTCAAGTAAGTTTAGGTCATTTACTCTTTTATCTTTTTTATGTTAAAGTTACTGGAACGTTTTTGGAAAAGAAAAAAACTAAAATGCAAATAAAGCCAACTTCATTTATGAGAGTAAGAATAACAGCAAAATCTTAGTTATGTCCCAGATATAGTACAAGATTGCCCATGTGGCTAATTGGATTCTACCCCTCAGCAAATTTATTATTGTTATGGTTGAGATTCTCATCGTAATATTCCTTGGGAATTTGAAAATTGACATTTTGTGTAGCACGTAGTTTTTTTTTTTTTTTTTTTCATACCAGGTTTTGAACTCAAGGCCTCATGCTAGCTAGGCAAGTGATTTACCACTTGAGAAATGTCTATTTTTCTATAGGGTTTCACAATTTTGCTGGAGGCCTGGCCTGAACCTTAATCGTCCCAATCTTTACCTCCTAAGTAGCTGGAATTACAGGCATGTGCCACCACAATGGGCTATAAATAGCTTTTACTTGTGACTAAGTTTGGATTTGTTAGTTAAGCCAATGTATTAGACTTGAGATTTTTGCCATTTACAAAACCATTCGAAATTCCCTTGGAAATTTTGTGAACCAAAATTTAGAGAAAAGCACATGTTGAAAAATTTTATACATATAATACACTTTTGAGGAGTGAGTACATATCTTTTTTTCAGATTTCTAAAGATATTGCTTACCCAGAAAATGTAAAGAGCCACTGTTTATAGCATTAAATGAAATAAGTTATGCAACTAGTTAGCATGCTAAACACACAGAAAATATGCAACAATTGTTAATACTGAGTATCTTCTGTGTGCCAGGGGAAGAGTAGAGGGTAAGTGATGTCAAAGAATTGGGCTAGAACATGTAACTCATAGAACATGGTAGATGAACATTCAGGTTTAAGTGGGAAGATGTTCTTAAGCTGGAGAATGGCATGAATTAATTAACTTTTTAAATTTATTTTTGGCAGTTTTGGGGTTTGAACTCAGGGCCTAGTGCTTGCTAAGCAAGTGCTCCACCACTTGAACAACATACAGACTCTTTTTTTTTTTTTTTTCTTAGTGGGTTGGGGTTTGAACTTAGGCCTTCATGCTTGCAAAGCAGGCCTTCTACCTAACACTTTTGCCCAAGCTGGCCTTAAACCTCAATCCTTCCCATCTCAGCCTCCCAAACAGGTAGGGTTAAGAGTGAGAGTCACAGCACCTGTCTACATACTAGCTCTGGATTGATATTTTAAAAATGTTTCTCACCACTTTGTGGAGAATGGATTTGGGAGATGGGGAGGAAGGGGGATAAGAACATGAGCAGGAAAGTCTAGTAAGAGGCTTTTGAAGTAGGCCAGGAATGAAGTGATGGTTTCTTGGATTAATTTGATTTGATGGTGTATTTGACAATAGTAACTACTAGATTTACTAATGGGTTGGTTGTAGAAGGGTGCAGGAAAAGGAGGAAAGAAGGATGACTTTGGGGTTTTTGGTGTGAGAATTAGGGTTCATAGTATTCCAGTTTCTTGAGTTGGAGAGGATTGGGAAAGTACAGTTTTGTTAGATTTAAGGAGTTTTTCACACGTGTAAGTGGAGAGAGATGTCAAGTTGCCACATGGACTTAACATTCTGAAGTTTAAGAGAAAGGGTGGGACTGGAAATATAAATATGGTTTCATCAGTATACAGGTTATGGTGAAGGTTGTGATAAAGAGTGGAGCCAGCCTAGAATGTGGCCTGAGTGGAGGAGGAGACTGAAGAAGGAGGAGGCATTGACTAGGGGAAGAGCATGGAGGTTTTATAGAAGCAGAGAAACAAAGCAGTGTGTGGATGCTTCAGAGGTCACAAAAGGCAGAAAAAATAAATGACCCTGGATTTAGTGACACAGGCCATAGGTGACTTTGACAACAGCAGTTTCCACGTAAGTAGGGACAGACCAGGAAGAGTTGAGGTGAGGAAGTGAGGACAACAGGATAGACAACTCAAGAACTTTTGCAATGAAGGGTGTGAAGGACATCAAGGAGTCAAGGGAGAGTTTTATTGGTGGTGGTTTTTCTAGAGCAGTCTTACTTATTGTTGAGTATGAGCCTAGAGCAAGTAAGAAACTGATGGTGCAAGATTATTCATGGTGATGCCCTGGACAAAGCAAGAGAAGATGACATTCTGAGTCTTAGCAGAGGAGTTTATTTTTCCTAAGAGCAGGGACTCTCAACTGATTGTAACTGGAGGGTATGATTGTAATTCCAGAATATGCATGAAGGGGGTGGGTGTTGATACTCATTTTTCTTTTTTCTTTTCTTTTCTCTTCTCTTTTTGTTCATTCCTTCCTTTCTTTTTTATTTTGTTTTTCTTTGGCAGCACTGGGGTTGAACTCAAGGCCTCATGCTTGCTAGGCAGGTGCTCTTACCATTTGAGCTACTCCACCAACCCTTTTTTTTGTGATGGGTTTTTTCAAGGTAGGGTCTCACCAACTATTTCCCTGAGGCTGGCTTCTAACCACGATTCTCCTGATTCTGACTCCTGAGTAGCTAGTATTACAGGTGTTAGCTACTGGCACCTGGCTTGTTTTGTTTTGGTTTTGAGGCAAGGTCTTGCTATGTATCCCAGTCTGGCCTGGAAGTCTTGATTCCTCTACCTTAGGCCTTCCCACCCACCATCTCCAGTGCCAGAATTACAGGTGTGTGCAGTCATGCCAGGCTGGTACTCATTTTTCTCAACACTCCTCTAAAATGTTACTTTTGTTTTATAGATTGAAAGAGTGAAATTTGGTGAGGTAAAATGGTTTGTTTGTATTACATCATGTAGCATTAGTAGGTATAGAACCAAAACACTGGACTTCCAGCTGAATGTTTCGGTTTATGTTTTTTTTTGTTTTCTGTGGTTCTGGGGGTTTGAGCTGAGGATCTCCTGCTTGCTAGTCAGGTGCTCTACCACTTCAGCCACTCTGCCCACCAGCCCTTTTTTGTGTTAAGTTTTTTTTTTTCTTTTTTTGCAATATTGGGGTTTAAACTTGGCCTACATCTTGAGTCACTGCTCCAGTCCTTTTTTGTGAAGGGTTTTTTTCAAGATAAGTCTCGTTAACTATTTGCCCAGGCTGGCTTTGAACCATAATCCTCCTGATCTCTGCCTCCTGAGTAGCTAGGATTACAGTCATGAGCTACTGGAGCATGAGTGTGTTGAGTATTTTCAAGATAGAGTCTCAGGAATTATTTGCCTGGGCTGATTTTGAACCTCGTTCTTCCTGATTTCTGAGTAGCTAGGATTACAAGTGTGAGCCACCAGCACCTGGCTCATTTATGTTCTTTAAGATTAAGGTGACAGCATATGGTAGATAGACTTTATATATCTATATGAAACAGAACTAAGAAACCTCTTACAGTTGCTTTAAGTGGGGTGGGGAGGGGTTGAGGGGGAGAGACGATGGGGACAATTAAGTAATGTACAATGTAAGTCTAATCGAAATTGTCACTATGCATCCCCCCATATAATAAATATATCCTAATTAAAAAAAAATAAAAGTTCATTTTCAAATACCAAAAAAAAAAAAAAGAAATATAGCAAAATATAAATTGTGTTTTATATCTTCTTGTCTTACCTTGGTGTTTCTAGGGACAGATTTGGAAGCATCTTTGCTAAGTTTTGAAAAACTTGACCGTGCCTCACCAGATCTTTGGCCAGAACAATGTAAGTTTTTGCTTTTTGATATTAGAATTGATGCAGGAGAGCCGGTGCTCTCCTGGGTGACTTTTGAAGAGTCGTCATGTAATTGTGATGATTCAGGTTTTTATTGTAATTCAGACATAAGAGATTGATGCCCAATGTTAAGAATAGTTGTTTAGTAGTTTTAATTTTTGGGGTATTTTCCAGGAAATGATAAAGAGACCTTAAATAATAATTATTAAAAAAAATTACGTTCTTTATAAATTCAGATGATATTGAGATGCATAAAGCATTTCCTCACCCCCTTTAATTACTCTTATTAACTATTGTTAATAATTTTACACAAATTGGCTTGAACTTTTTTTTTTGGTGGCATTGGGGTTTGAACTCAAGGCCTACATCTTGAGCCACTCTACCAGCCTTTTTTTGTGAAGGGTTTTTTTTGAGATTGGGTCTCACAGAACTATTTGCCTGGGCTGCCTTTGAACCGCAATCCTCCTGATCTCTGCTTCCTGAGTAGCTAGGATTACAGGCGTGAACCACCAGTGTCTGGCTTGCCTTGAACTTTTTTTATGCTTGTACAAATAAGCAGATATCTTTTTTAAGTACATAGAAGGTTTTTTATAATGATGGAATCATATGTATGTGGTCTTCAACTTTACTTATTAAACCTAATAATTTTAGTGGCTCTTTCCATGTTGGTATGTGTAGGTTTATTCCATTTTAAACATATTTCAATGAATAGATACATCATTATAGTTTGTATATTCATACCGTATTTGGAAACCTAAGTTATATCTAATTTTTTATTTTCTAGTTTATCAATGAATATCTTTGCACATATATATCTATATGTTTATCTATAGATATAAATATTTATTTTTGGCAGTACTGAGGTTTCATTTTCTTCTGTGCTTGGGATTGCACCCAACACCTTGCACATGGCTAGGCAGGCACTGTACCACTGTACCACTGGTTTAAGATTTTTGATAAGAGATACTGTATCTCAGGCTTGGGGCATGGATCAATCACTCTGTAGACCTCTTGCCTAGCATGTGTAAGATCCTGGGTTCAGTTCTCTGTACTGCTAAACAAAACAAAAGATATTGTATCTCACCACAAAAGCTTAGTTGAGTCCCTATTTTCTCAGAGAAGCTTTCTTTCCCCCTCAGTCTGATTTAGATTTCCAATTTTTTTCTGTTCTCCCATAGCACTGACATATTTCTTTCTTTCTTTTTTTTTTGTATTTTCTGGCAGTACTGGGGTTTGAACTAGACCTAGACAGTCATTCTACCACTTGAGCCACTCCTCCAGTCCTGTTTTTGTGTTGGGTATTTTCCAGATAGGGTCTTGCGAACTATTTGCCTGGGCTGGCTTCATACTGTGATCCTCTGACCTCTGTTTCTCGAGTAATTCTCAGGATTACAGGCGTGAGCGACTGGCGCCTGGTCCCTGACATCTTTCTAAGAGTGCTTAAACAATATTAGAGTTACTGATTTACTCTTTGACCTCTTCCAGACTGCAGAAGGCAAGGCTGTTTTCTTATTATTTTAATCCTCTGTGCCTGAGCACACAAATGTTTCTTGAATGAATAATAGCTTTTTCCCCCCTTGTTTTAGTACCAGGTGTTGCTGAATTTGCAGCTTCCTTCAAAAGTGTAAGTACTATCTCACTTACCTAATGCAGTTTATCCAAAGTTTTGCTCTTGAGTAAAAGCTCAAATCTTTATTTTCATGACTAATGCTACAGTCTTCTAAAGATTTTTTAACTACAATCCTAAATCTGTTTATATTATCAGCATGTTAATTGTAGATAATGCCTTCCTCTGTTCAAATGTTTTATTTTGACATTCTGACCTTGTCTATTGACCTTTTTTCTCAGCTTGAAAGCTTTCAAGGTAAGGCATTTGATGTATTTAATGTAACATTAGTATTCTTTTTGCCCAAACTATATTTTTGAAGCTTTTCTCTTGTTTATGTGATGCATTATGGCCTTAACTTATACCTCCTTAAAGGATTTTGGATCAGAAACCTAAAGAATGATATCCATAAGAGCCAGACTTTTCTCCTTCTAGGGAAGTAGGCATTGTGCTTGAAACTCTAAATGTGTTCTCTTATATAGTCCCACAACCAAGAAAATATGATACTAATGTTAGCTAACATTTACGTAGTGCTCATCATGTGCCAGGCACTCTTCTAAGAACTTCACATATGTTATTTAATCTTCACAAAACCAAATGGTATATAGCTACTATATTTATCATCCCCAGACAAGGAAATAGGCAGACCTGGTTATATTAAGTAGGCTACTTATAGACTTATAAGTGGCAGAATCAGGCTTTGAACCCAGTAATCTAACAGTTAGCCTCTATGCTCTTTTTTTTTTTTTTTTGGCGGTACTGGTGTTTGAACTCAGGGTTTCAAGCTTGGAAAGCAGACTCTCTAATACTTGAGCTACACCTCCAACCCCCTGCATCTTAACCATACTTAACAGGATTTAAGCCCAATGTTAGAAGTACTAAGTGGCAGTGAAACTTGAAAAACTAAGTTACTTGCCTAAGTCCTAATGTCACTGTATGTTTTTAGGAGTTTGGGGAGGTCCCCATGAGAGTGGAGGCCTCAACTGGGCAGGTCCTTATCTTTGATTGCAGAATAAAAATTTCAGACCAAGACACAAAATAAAGTAAGGAGCCAACAGAATTTATTAATAAAGCAAAGGACCTATAGTACATACCCATTCATGGTATAGGTGCATGAGAAGAGGCATACCAAGTGTATTTATTGCAAAAAGGTGGTTTGGGGGGTTTGGTTTAAGCCCGCCTTAGGATAAGTGCTTCTTTCTGTTCTGGACTCCTGGTACATTGTTTTGACATTATCAGTTGGGCACAGAAAATCCTAACAAAGAATGGGTTTTATCAGATGTACTTTTCAAGACAGGTATCTTTTTTTTTTTTTTTTTTGGTGGTACCAGGGGTTGAACTCAAGTCCTTATGCTTGCTAGGCAGGTGCTTTACCACTTGAGCCACACCTTCAGCATATGCATATATATTTTGAGTTTTTTTTTTTTTTTAGGGGCTCAGGGACATCATTCCAGGACTCCAGGTTAACATCCCCTGGTAGAATATTTATTGGGTACTAGAGCTAAAAATGGTGAGTTTGACTTAGAGCCTTTTAGGGAAAGCAGCATAGAGGCCTCATAATGGTTTCCGGACTCAGATTACCTCAGTTTTAAATCCTGACTTCTGAGCTGTGTAGCCTAAGTTAAGTGATTCATAATCCCTGTTTGTTTTTAATTTGTAAAATGGAAATCATAATACGTACTTCATAGCATCATTTTGGGAGTAAATGACATGATGTAATGTGTTTTGCTTATTATATAACTAGTACTAATTAATTTTAAGTTTTAAAAAAGGAGGATTAAAAGCTGAAGTAATGTTTCATAACCCCACACCCTATTTGCATGATACAGCTACCAGTATGTAGCTGTGGAGCTTTTGAAAAACATTTATGGACTCCCTGCCTCCAGTTTTTACACTGGGCCCTCCCAATTACTCCTGATAGTCTAAATCAGTACATCTGGAATGTAGCCAAGGCATTTATATTTTTATTTTGTTTTCTTTTACTTTTTGGTTCAGGGCCTCACTATATAACCCAGACTGGCCTCAAACTCAAACTTGCTCTGTATCCCAGGCTAGCCTTGAACTCATGATCCTCCTACATGCTGGGATTATAGGCATGTACTACTACACCCAGTGGCATTTACATTTTTTTAAGGTTACCAGGTGTTTCTCATGTACAACTAGGATTGAAAATTGTTGACCTGAAGGTATTCTAAGAGTGAGCTTTCTTTCATAGTTTTCAGTTTCACTTTGAGAAATGAGAAGATAACTTAAATTTTTTTAATTTTCTAAAACTTCTGTAATCAAATTATGAAACTTTACCAGGCACCAGTGGCTCATGCCTGTAATCCTAGCTACTCAGGAGGCAAAAATCAGGAGGATTGCAGCTTGAAGCAAGCCCAGCCAAATAGTTCCAGAGACCCTATCTTGAAAATATCCAGCACAAAACAGGACTGTTGGAGTCACTCAAGTGGTAGAACACCTGCTTAGCAAGCATGAGGCCCTGATTTCATACCCCAGTACTGCCAAAATAACATTATGAAATTTCACTTGAGTTGAGAATTTCCCCATTTTTGATTCTTTCTTTCTGTTACTGATTACTATTTCAAATAGTTCAGTTAGAGGCTTTCACCAAATTGGAATTTCAAGTAGTTTTATTGCTTTATTAGTTTCTTGTGTGTGAAATAGTACTAGTAGTCAACCAAGTTCTTCTAAGATCATCTCTCTGGGGTAAGTTTTAAAGATGAGCAATATTATTTTGTAAGATGACTATTTGTAGTTCATATCTGAACCTGAAGAAATCTTTTTTTTTTTTTGATGGAACTGGGTTTGAACTCAGGGCTTCATGCTTGCAAAGCAAGTGGTCTACGCCTTGAGCCACAGCTCCAGCCCATTTTGCTCTGGTACTTTGAAGATGGGATGTTGTGAACTATTTGCCTGTGCTTGCCTCAAAAGCCTGATCCTCTTAATCTCAGCCTCCCAAGTAGCTAGGATTGAAATCTGGGTCTTTGAAATGGTAATTTGCCAGTATCTTCAAAACCTGAAGGCTGTGTGACAAGTTACATTTCTTATAAGAAAGAGTGTTCCTACTTTTTATGTATCTGAATGGGTATATTCTTATTTTCTGACAGCCTATTACTAGCTCTCCGCCTAAATGGATGGCTGAAATAGAACGTGATGACATTGACATGTTGAAAGGTAAGTGATGCTGGTGTCCTTTTTTTTTTCTTCCTTTCTTTTCTCTCTTTTCTTACTTTCTCTCTCTCTCTCTCTCTCTCTCTCTCTCTCTCTCTCTCTCTCTCTCTCTCTCTCTCTTTTGTTTCTTCTTTCTTCTCTCACTATGTTGCCTGGGTTGGTCTCATGAAGTCAGGTGACTCTCCTTCCTCAGCTTCCCTAGTAGCCGGGATTACAGGTGCACCACCATGCCTCGCTTGTCCTCACTTTTATCCTGATGTGAGTGTTCCTCCACAAACTACCTTTCCAGTTTTTCCCTCCCTTATAAATATTTTTGGCGTCAAACTGCCTACTTAACCCCCCTTCATAGTTCTTTGTGTCTGGAATGCCTTCTAATACTTTTTCCAAGTGTAGAAATCCTGCAAATTCAAGAGTAAGTCACAGTAAAGTGTTTTTTATTTCTTTTTCTTTTTTTTTTTTTTTTTTTGTGGGAATGGGTTTTTAACTCAAGGCTTCATGCTTGCAAAGCAGATGCTCTACCATTTGAGCCACACCTCCAGTCCATTTTGTTGTGGTTAATTTGAAGATGGGGTATTGCAAACTTTTTGTCTGGGCTGTCTTCAAAACACGATAACCCGGATCTCAGGCTCCCAAGTAGCTAGGATTATGGATGTGAACCACGGAGCTCTTTCTTTCTGTGGCACTGGGGAAGATTTGGAATTCAATCACAGAGTGGAAATTTAAATTTAAAAACATTACTTTTTATGATTTTACTCTATTTTTTAATTCCGTCTGATTAAATTCTTGATGGTTGTGAAGTAATAGATTGAAATTAAAGTAAAAATATGGGATTGTTGAGGTCTTTTTTTTTTCCACTTATGGTTCCTATTTATTGATTTGTGTTTTGTTTTTTTAAATTGTTGTACTGGGGGTACACTATGACATTTACAAAAGTTCTTACAATGGCTGGTGGAGTGGCTCAAGTGGTAGAGTGCCTGCCTAGTTAAGTGTGAGGCCCTCAGTTCAAACCCCAGTACCACCAAAAAAAAAAAAAAATTTTTGCACGATATCATAGTTGAATTCACTCCCTCTATCATTCTCCTTTATCGCCCTTCCCTCTTGAGATCTTAGCAGTTGAATAGGTCAAGAAAGTCTACTTATGCCAGATACAGATGATTGCAGCATGATAAATGGGAGAAAAAAACCACCTTTATTTGGTTTTAGAAGTAATTCATTGTTCTTCATGTTTAAATGCAGATTCCCTCCTCCAACTGTGAAAAAGTTATGCCTCGTGGGCATCTTGGGTTCATTGGTCTGATGTACAAGCACATTTATGTAATAGAGTATCAGCCTGTATTTCTTAATGAGACTAAATTTTCAGTGAGAGATCGTGTCATTATGTTCCATGCAAAATTGACCTGTGTTTTAAACCTAATGGAATATTGGGTGCTATTTAAATGAAAATCTGGGAAAGTAAGTTTTCTTGTAGTATATTATCTTTTTACTTGGTAAACTTTAAAAAATTTCATAGAAGTTTGATTTTGAAGGGGAAGTTCGGGTTTATATATAGGAGATTTTTTTGTTTTTGTTTTTATGGTTGTATTGGGGTTCAAACGAGGACCTCACACTCATAGCACTTGAGCCACCCTTATGCCCCTTTGTTTTATTTTTTAGGTAGGGTGTCAAGTCTTTGTCTAGGTCAGGCCTCTGACTGTGATCCTTCTACTTATGGTCCTCCTAGTAGGTGGGTCTACAGGTGTGTACCCACCCAGCTTTTTGATTGAGATTGGCTTCTCTAACTTTTTGCCCAGGCTGGCTTTAAATGTCAGTCCTCTTGTTGTCTACCTCATGAGTAGCTAGAATTTACAGGTGTGAGCCACTGCACCTGGCTATATTTCATCTTTCTTTTTTACATTTAGGTAAATGGAGAACAGTGTTTTGTTGCTATTATTGTTGAAATCATAGGACTTACAAACAGAAAATGTCATTTTGCAAGATCAAGATCTGTCTGCAAGACTTTCTTAATGCTTCATCGCATCATAAAGTTTTGCACTTTAATGATGTATTCATTTTATATGATTGACAAAATGAATGTTATAAAAAGATCCTTAGGATAAAATACTTAATTTGTTACTGCATTTATGCTAACTCTTTTCTCAGTAAGTGGGAAAGCTCATCTGAGGCACTTTTCAGAACTAAAAAAATTCACTGAGAGTGTGTGTGCGCGCGTGTTTGTGTTTGTATCCATTTGCTATTTATTCAGTAGAAATAAAGCTTGCTTTTTTGTGATACTGGGGATCAAATCAAGGACTTTGTGCATACTCTACCATTCAGCTGTACTCCAGCCCAGGTTGAAAACTTATAGCCAGGATTCCCAACCCAAATGAATTGTTACTGGAGAACAGTGGGAAGAAATAGTGTTGAAATAAATTATTCTGTTTCAGAACTGGGGAGCCTCACCACAGCTAATTTGATGGAGAAGGTACGAGGTCTACAGAACCTGGCCTATCAGCTGGGGCTGGATGAGTGTGAGTACCCAGATCACATTTTTTCAGGGTTACATGTTGTAAGTTCCATGATGAGTTCTAGGAAAGTACAATTTTCCTTTAATTAGAGAAAAGATAAGTGATCTGAAGGTAAGAAGTCAATGCAACCTAAAATGTGCCTTTTATAATAAAGTGTGGTGGAATAATTACTGGATTTACTAGGCAACAAATTACATTTCTCTGTACAGTAAAAGTTGGTTGGGACCCTTTCACAAGTTTAAGGGGATCAACTCAAAGTAGCTTAAGTCAGAGAGACTTTATTAGTTCACATTAATTTATTAAAAGTCCAGGAGTTTAAACAAAAAAAAGTCCAGGTATAGAAATAACTTTGCGGATATATATAGATCCATGATCCTTGGGATGAACTCTTGTTCTTGCTTGTGTTTTGCATATCAAAGTTCTGCTTCATCATGCATTAGTCTTGTATTCTTTGTTGAAACAGATAGCTTTTTCTCAGCACTGGGAAAGATGGCCAAAAGGAGATCCAGTTTATATATTTTTGAATCTCATCCCAAAAGAAGAATGTTTCAAAAGAAAGTTGCTGGGGAAGACTTTGACTGTTCTGTGTTGATTCTCATACCCATCCTTGAGCCAGTCCTTTTTCCAGTTGTCCAGAAGCACTGTGATTGATGGACCAGGACTGGGTCCATTCAGACACAGAATAGAGAGGTTGGTCTGACCCAAATTTTGTGGAATGGGAGGTAAGAATTGGTTCCCCGAAGGAAGGGATATATGACAGACCAAGAACATATCTGCTTCCATGAGTAATGCCTTAAAATTTCTTGTTTTATGCCTGTCTGCTCTCCATTCTCTTAATATACATTTTTTATTCATTACATCTCTTCTCATATTGTATTCATTACAAAAGTGGAAAAGGAATTGTAGAAAGTTCTCACTTTGTAATTGAAAGAAGAAATACTCAACATAAATGCAGTGGTTAGAACCTATTCTCAGGGACTACTTCAGACCATCATTAAATCTATAATCTTGAGAGTCCTATTAGGTTGTATAGATTTCTTCAAAAATGCAAGTTTCATACTAATTGGTGCAATTCTAAAAATAGTCTTGTTACTTGTTTTTCTTGTTTCTTTAGAGCATAGTGTTTGTTCACAGCATTGATTTAAGTTACCGCCAAATTTAACATTTTGCTTTAAAATTTGAGATTTCTAATTTTATCCTTTCTTTATTTCTGTTACTGTATGTAAAGTTAGCTTGTTTTGTTTTTTGTTTTGGGTTTGCTGGGGATCAAACCCAGGGCCTTGTGCATGCTAGACAAGCATTCCACCACTGTGACACATCTTCAGCCCACAGTTGGATTTTTTTTTTACCAAAAAAAATTTTTTAATCACTTCATGAATCAAGAAATAGAGGATAATAAAGTGCTTAGAGATATAGTTGTTAGGTAGTCATTTTTTGGTATTTAACTCTCCTTTATATCTTATTGATTTCTTTCTTCTGATTAAAGTTTATGCTTTGGTGAAGCTCCTAATTACCAAGTATAAGGCACATCTGTGATATTTAAATTCATGAATGTGAAATTTATATAGAATTCCTTGATTTTGTTTCTACCTTTGAATAATAAATGCTATAATCAAATCAAGGATCAGTGCCTTGTCGGTATCAGTTTTTAATGAAGCAAACTTTATGCTTGTTACATGAAGAGGATGCTTGTGAGCTATCTCATCTCTGGTTAGCTGTGGCTGAAATTGCTATGTTCCGTCTCATTAGTTTCTCTTTCTCTTCTAAAAAAAGTAATGAAGTGTATTTTCCCACTTTCTATTACAGAAAAATTTATTCTAAAGTATAAACAGATGATGACTTTATGTACCCCAGCTTAAATAATCAACATATGAACAATCTTGTTTCATTTATAATAACCTTCCATAGTAATTTTAAAGCAAGACTTAGGTACCATATTACCTTTTTTTAAGCCTAGCTTTCTATATTTTCCAACAAACAAGGGCACACTTCTATTATGCCTAATTTTTCTTTTCTTTCTTTCTTTTTTTTTTTTAATTTCAGCAGAGCTGGTATGAATGCCTAATTTAAAAAATTTTTTCTTTAAGAAATGGAATCTCACTGTGTTGCCCGGGCTGGTCTCAAAGTCATGGGCTTAAGTGGTCCTTCTGCTTCAACCTCCCAAGTAGCTCGATGGTAGGCATGCACCACTACACTGGGCTTATGCCTAAACAGTTTCAACAAGTTTGTGTAATACCATGAGCTAGCCAGTCACAGTTCAGATTTGTTTGATTCATAATTGACTTTATACAGTTGGCTTGTTTGAGCCAGGATCTAAAGAAGGGTCATATACTAATTTCGATTGATAGGTTTTTAAGTCTACTGTAGTTCCACCTTCCTTACTTTCCCTTGTCTCTTATTAAACCTAGTCATTAATTCAGTTTCCCACATTCTGGATTTTGTTGCAGTTGAGCTTACCATGTTCATCTATCCCTTTTCATTTCCAGGTAATTAGCTCTAGAAACTTGGATAGTTACAGGCTTGATTTATTTTTATGTTGGCAAGAATGTTTCACAGGTGGTAGTGTTACATCTGTCAGAGAGTATAGTAAGTCTTGAGTATAGCTTGACTCTCTGTGTTTGATATTAATATTAATAGTTGATAAAGGTATTGTCAGCCTGCTTATTCATTGTAAAATTCTCCACTAACCTTTCACCCATAGTAACAGCCTTTGATTATTGTCTAGGTACACTATTTTATTAAAGGTTGCTAGGTACAAAATTAGAGATAAGGGCAAAATAGTTTCTGCTGGGTATTGAGGGGGGGGAGCGGGAGGGAGTGGAGTGGGTGGTAAGGGAGGGGGTGGGGGCAGGGGGGAGAAATGAACCAAGCCTTGTATGCACATATGAATAATAAAAGAAAAATGAAAAAAAAAAAAAGGTTGCTAGGTGATGATATTCTTATTCTGTCATTCCTTCTTGTCTAGTCCTATAAAGGACTTTATCTTACCAACTATTTGATTGCTTTGAGAGATGTTCCTACTAAAATGACAGGATAAATGATTCTTTTTTCTTACTAGTTTTTGATTCTCAGTTCCCTAAGCGTAAAAAAGTTTTTAATGACTTCTCACAGATTAAGAACGTTGGTGTGTTTTTTTGCTTTTGCTTTTGTTTTGCTTAATCCACAATTAAAGCCATACAAATATTTATTTGTATTTGTAAGGATTTAAGCCATTGGGGGTTGGGGGGGAGGAGTTGAAGTAACTAACTCAGCCACCTTAAGCACTGAACCTAAACTGCATAACAAATGCTTGTTTTTGCCAGATGAGTACCATAAACATAACTGAGATTCTCAAAATTATCTTCCAGTTCACAATTCAGCCTTCTATAGCAGTACTTTGCAACTGTTTGCCGTTTTCCTTGACTGTAGTAAATGTAGCTGACGTAAAGAAATACTTTTTAAAGTTAGAAGTAGAAATAACTACATTGATAAATACTGGATTTCTTGAAGACAGTCTCTGTATTATTGTTTCTAGTGTATTTGCATAAAAATAAGATTTTTTTTTTTTGCACTTACAGATTATTTATCTACTCTAGGGGTTGGGTTTCACTTGACACCTTAATCTGGTAATGTCTCAATCCTCTTTCCTACACTAATTGAGAGGATGACATGGTTGAAAAGTAAGCAGTAGGAACTGATGAATCCCCAAGGACCACTGATACTGTTTTCATGCAAATATCTGCCGTGATAAAGATGATGAAAAGAAAAAAAATTTGTCTCAAACCATGATTGTCATTTCCCAGAAGCATTGTTAAATGTTAGTATACAAATGATGTGAAGGTTGGCAGTGTGGCTCAAGTGGTAGAGCGTCTGCTTGGCAAGCGTGAGGCCCTAAGTTCAAACCCTAGCACCGTGGGGGGGAAAAAAAAAGATGTGAACCTTCTAGGGCTGATAGTAACTGGGGTGTGTCTTTTGGAAGATGAGCCCTACCCTTTGATTTGGTACTGATTATGCCTCAGATAATGCTTTTGGTGTGCAAATTTGGTAATGCAGTAACTTTTGTTACAGGCATTTAAAAGCCTCTCAGATGATTGGGGACATTAGTTTGATTTGGGCACTTAATTCATATGAAATTTCCCTTAAAATGCTTAGAAATACAAGAAATGCTAAAATTCTGGCTAGTATATAAAGAATTCTATGTTACTTTCAGCTAAGTTCAGTGCCTTTTACTGGGATTATTGCACTGACCTTCTAACTTGCCTCCTAGCCTCATTCTAGTCAGTCTTGTTTACTACTGCCAGATTAATTTTCTAAAGTTACATTTTCTCCTTGTCCTTTGCTCATGAGTCATATGGGTACATCATTACCCATATAATAAAATTCAGACTGTGTAACATGGCATTCAAAATCCTCTACACTCTGACTCTAGCTGAATCTCTAGCCTTTATACTTATTTTCTCCTGCTAAACACCTTATACTATACCTATCTGAAATACTTTTTCTGGAACTTCCCCATCTCGTTAGTTTGTTCATGTTGCTTACCTCATTCATGAGCCTTTTCCTTTCATCCCTACCTAATCTGGGAAGTGAACTTTTTCCTGGTCTCTCATTGCTCTTAGAGCAGTTTGTTTCATTTGTAAGCCACTTTTGTTATTCTTCTTGGAGATTTGTGGTATTTGTCTTATCCCTTGGATTGAGTGTAATTTTTTAAGGTAAGAGTCTTATTTGGGGGTCGCCTTTGTAGTCCATAAAGGAACTGACTTACAGCAAGTATGCAGTGTATATTTGCTGATTGAATGTTCAACTGTTGATGCTTTCAGATGAAATAACAGAATTTTTCTAATGAAGTCCATTGGTTAAAACTGAAAAGATGGAAGCTTCTAGAAATTATTCTTTTTCTGGACAGTTGATGTTATTTGTTTTGGGGTTTTTTTTGGCAGTACTAGGATTTGCACTCAGGGCCTCATGCTTGCTAGGCAAGCATTCTACCACTTGAGTGTGCAGTTGGTGTTTTAGTGATGAGAAGCAGCATTTGAAGTTCTTGTGATATCGGGAATTTATTTTCTTATAACATTTGATAATTACAGAGTACATATCGTGTGAAGTGTGTTGATAATGATTTCTTTTTGTCTTGTACTTTAACCCTACTCCACCACTTTTATGACCTGGGCATGGTCCTGATTTAGTCTGTGAGTTACTATAATAGGTTGCTTCCTTTATTCCTAAGACCCGCTGAATTACTGTGAATCCTATTGAGTTGTGATTCTCGGTAATTCTTACCCTTTTCTAATTTTCTTTCCCTGTCTCTGAAAGAGACAAATCTTTACTAGTCATGTAGATGATCTAACTTGAAAATATTTTAAAATATAATATGAAAATTGGGAAAGCAGAGGTCAAACATTGGGGCTCTGATGTATTTATTCTTTTTTGTAACAGCTTATAGAGATGTTTTCCCATGCCCTGTAACTCCTCCTTATGATGTGTGATGCAGTGGTTCTTATTATATTCATGGAGTTATACAGTCATCATCACAGTCAAATATATTTTCATTGCCCATCGCCAGTAGCTCATGCCTGTAATCCTAGCAGAGGCAGAGATCGGGAAGATCATGGTTTGAAGCCAACCTGGGCAAATAGTTTGTGAGACCCTATCTTAAAGAAAAATCCTTCACAAAAAAGGGCTGGTGGAGTGGCTCAAGGTGTAGCCCTGAGTTAAAGCCCCAGTACTGCAAAAAAAAAAAAATTTACTTTCATCACCTTAAAAAGAAACCCTATACTTATTTGCAGTCACTCTTCCATGACTCTCCAGTCTCTCCTGGCATCAGCCACCGCCAGCCTACTTTATGCCTATGTGGATTTGGAGTCTGTATAGTCTGGAATTGTATAATATGTGGTCTTTGTGGCTGGATTCTTTGTTTTTTCTTTTGTTTTTCCAAACCCACAGCCTTGCACATGCTGTTACTGAGCTATACCCCCAGCCTTGGATTCTTTAACTAACGTAATACTGTGTTCAACTACATTGTAGCGTGTATCTGTGCTTCGTTCTCTTTTATGACTGAATGATACTCCATTGTGTAAATGTACTACACTATACCAGTTTTGAAAGTCATTTGGGTTGTTTCTGCTATTTGGCTAATATGAATAATGCTGCTCTGAATACCCACGTATA